GCATTATATAAAGGTACAATTCCCAATGAGAAATGTAATTGTGTTGTATACCTACAATGTACCAATAAAAGAATTTAATACAAAAATAAATTATCAGGCATGCAAAGAAGAAAATATGACTCATAATGAGGAGAACAAACAATAGAAATAGACTTAAAATTACACAGATGATAGAATTAGTAAACAAAAAGAAAGCCACTATTATAATAGTTATCATGTGGCTTATTCAAGAAGGAAGAGGGAAGATTGAGCATGTATAACAGAGATACAAAAACATTTTTAAATGATCCAAATTGAATTTCTAGAGATAAATGCAATGCCTGGTAGGGCAAGGAAGAGGTACACCAGATGAAATAAGTCCAGATTGTATATGGCAGAGGAAAAGATTAGTACATTGAAGATATAACATTTTAAACTATCCAAAACGAAATGAGGGTTGGGCCAGGAATTTAGCTCAGTGGTTCTGCTGCCTGCCTTGCAAGTGCAAGGTCCCGAGTTCGATCTCCAGTATCAAAACAAAACAAAACAAAATGAAATGAGGTTTAAAAAGAAAAAAAATTGTAGCCTGGTGGTGCATGCCTGTAATCTTAGCTACTCAGGAGGATCACAAGCTAGAGGCCAGCTGGGGAAACTTACCAAGATCTTGTCTCAAAATCAGAAAGCAGATGAGAGCATTATCTTCCTGCTTCCCCTCCTTCCCTCGTGCAGCGTTAGGGAAACTTTCCCTTGAAGGAGAGACAGTAGATATTTTGGATTTGTGGGTCACATGGTTTCAGTAGTTACAGCTTCTCAACTCCGTTTATTCAACTCTGCTCAAAAGAAACCATAGACACAGTCTGGAAGCAAACAGCACATCTGTCTTCCAGTGAGACTTTTATTTACAAAACCAGGCAGCCACTCTGTGGTCTGTATTTGCTGACCCCTCTCCTAGAACAGCATCCAGTGAGTGTCCTAAGTGTCCATCCCACACCCCTAAAGCCCAGCAGGGCTGCTGAGTCCCTTGGATGAGCGCTCTCACCAGGCCTCAGCCCTGCTGCGCTCTTCTCTCTCACACTGCTATTCTGCTTCCAGATCCTATTCCACAAGGCCTGGAAGGGCAGCTAGCAGATAAGTGAATCTTTTTTGCCATTGGATTAGATCCCCAGGTGGGATCTAAGTAGCATCACAGTGTCCTTGTCAGAGAGAAGCAGAGTGAGGTGTGACACAGAGGCGAAGGCAACATGAAGGCAGAGCAGAGTGATTTGAAGATGCTGGCTTTGATGTCTGGAGTGATGAACCGCCGCAGACCCCGGAAGCCCGGTGGGGGCAAGGTGAGGAAACGATTCTCCCCTGGAGCCTGATGATATCTGACTTCTGCGCAGTGATGATACCGATTCTGAACTTCTGGACTCTGGAACTTCAAGAGAAAAAAAAAATTACGTTGCTCTAAGCCATGCAGTTCATGCTGGTTTGCTATAGTAGCTCTGGCAAACTAATGCTGCAGCCCTGTAATCATGTACGTAATTATCCATGACAGCAAAATTGAATGTGTATAGGGTTAGTACTAGGAGAAAGGAGACTTTCTGGAGCCCCAGCTCCATGGGGGAGGGAGGGAAGCCCAGCCAGGGGAGTGCAGGGGCACTGACCCCGGAGTCAGGAGACCTGGGCTCAAGTCCCTCTCTGCTTCCTCACTGAGGGATCCCGGGCAGGTGCCAGCCTTTGGCTTCCTTACCTACAAAACTCCCAAACTGGAGTAGAGAAGTTTCCTTCCCACTCCAAATTCTATTAAGCTTCAAGGAAATGCTGGTGAAAACACTTGGCATAAATATCCTATTGTGACCTTTGGGGCCGGGGCCCTGACAGTGGCTCTCAAATTCTACTGGCAGCTGCTTCTACCCTGCTCCATGATTTAGGAGAAGGAGTAATAGCAGAAGCAGCTAACCTGGCCTGCATTGCCTGCTGTGTGCCAGCCACTGTGCCAAGCATTTCCCTCCTGTCTTTCTCCAGAGTTGGCATGAGAATAGAATAGCGGTTATTATGGAGCCAGAAACACCTGAGCTGCAGGGTTGGAGCCACCACACTTAGCCATGTGATCTTGGGCCAGCAACTCAACCTGTCTGAGCAGCGATATTCTCACCTACACAATGACTCAGCCCTTCCCCATCTTCCTGAGATGTTATGAGCATCAGATTTACCTTCAGCAAAATGCCTGCCACGGTTCTCTTGTTACCATGGGTTCTTTGTAACAAGTGGAGGATTCCTAGTGAGGATGTGTTCACAGAGGGGATGTGCTGATGTCTCTGAGTTGGAAAACATCCAAATGCCACCAGCATCTGCTCAAAAATTCAATGCTGCCACTCCCAACCCCTCCCCATGGTTGTGCCACCACAGAATATTTCTTCTGTGACAACAGCCTGATGCACACATGGTAATTTTCAGGAGAGAGCTGAGCGACTAATTTTCTCACCTAAAATGTATGTTTCCTTCTTTGTTATTATAGGCTGGAGAAAAGACATAATAAAAATCCTCTGAATCTGGCAAAGAAAAGCAATGTGAAATTGTGATTTGAAACTGGAAGTAATCATTGTGCCTACAATTCTTAAGAAAAATAAATAAATCAAGAGTAGCTTTTAGAGCCAATCTTAAATCATGCTAGAAGGATATGAGTTAAAAACAGGGTGCAGCATCCCACAATTCATTGTTTTTCTCCCCTAAAATGCTGCTCTGCCTGGACCTCCAGCATTGGTTGAGTCCCCCAACCCCTAACCCACTGGCCTGTAGCCCATGGGTGCCCTCAATTTTCCCCTCACCCAGCCCTGCAGATTTCCTGGCTCTTGGACCCGAGGGGAGTTCCCTGTGGCCTCGCTGTCCCCTAGGAGTTTGGCCTTTCCTCCAGGGCAGATGCTTGGCCTGCTCATTAGTCTCCCTGCCCCAGGCCTCAGCCAGCTGCTGTGAGATCTTTCTGATTGTAATGGTGACTCTCAATTACTCAGGACCTGTGTCTATGATGTTTCTGGTATCCTTCATTTAAACTCCCAAAGCCTACCAGGCAGCTTTTACTTATTTCGCTTTACTGATGAAGCAACTTACTTAAAAGATTGGTCCTGGTCAAAGAGTAGGTAAACAGTGAAATGGATTTGAACCCAGGGCTGTGGGACTCCTAAATTTGTGTTTTTCTCATTTTACTGGTTTCCTTTATGGGCTCCCTATCACCTGATAGTGGAGTTTCCCAAAGCATGTCCTGAGACATCACTGGATAAGATGCTATGCTAAGTTTTCTTTAAAACAACGCAGATTGCATGAGGAGAGAAGTCTGTGGTTAAACAAATTCAGGGCACACTTGCTGCAGTGCGCTGCTCCCCTTTGGAGAATTCCCGGCAAACTGTGACCTCATGAATATCCTGCCATTAAAAAAGTGAGGCATTTTGGGCCGGGGATTTGGCTTAGTGGTTCCGCCGCCTGTGTTGCAAACTCAAGGACCCGAGTTCGATTCCCGATACAAAAAAAAAAAAAGTGAGACATTTTAAAGCAGAGTCTCTGAAGGTATTTTTCCATGGTACCCCTGTGTGCTGAAGACTGTGTTTCCTTGGCCTGAGGTCTGGGAACCACTTACCTAGTTTAAGTTGCAGGTCCTTACCCCACTGGTGTGCCTGCCACTCCATTCACTTCCTTTCATCGCCCTTCCACTCCAGCCACAACTCACTGCTCACATTTCATCACACAGCGTGTTCACACCTCCATGACTCTGCATATGTTGTTTCTTCTGCCTGGAACCCATTTCCCTCCCTCCCTTCTCTAGGTGCCTCTAAGACAAGCTGGAACATTCGCTTGCAAACGTTATTTTGAACCTCCTCACCAGAGCTAAGCGCCCCATCCACTGTTAGGACAACACCTCCCTCTATGTATGTCAAAGAATATTTATTTTTATATGGCTACTTCCCATTGTAGACTGGGAACTTTGTTTTTTAGTATTGGGATTGAACCAAGGGCCTCGTGCACACAAGGCAAACACTCCGCTATTGAGTTACATTCACAGCCCTTTGTGTTGTTGTCAATTTTATTTATTTTTTAAAATTTTGAGACAAGGTCTCATTAAGTTGCCCAGGCTGGCTTAAAACTTGCAGTCCAGGGCCGGGGATTTAGCTCAGTAGTTCCGTCGCCTACCTCACAAGCGCAAGGATCCGAGTTCAATCCCTGGTACCAAAAAACAAAAAAAAAAAACCCCAAAAAAGCCTTGCAGTCCTCCTGCCTCAGCTTCCCCAGTGGCTAGCATTGCCAGTGTGTGTCACCATGCCCAGTTATTGTGAATTTCTTTTTTTTTTTGTACTGGGGATCGAACTCAGGACCTTGCGCTTGTGAGGCAGGCACAGCGCCACCGAGCTAAATCCCCAGCCTGATTTTGAATTTCTTGAAGGGCCGACTGTAGCTTCTTTATTTCTGAATCTTCAGCGCTAGGCATAGGACCTGGTGCTTTGCCATAGTAGGTGTTTGCCACTGAATTTTCTACTGTCTTCCAATCTGTTTTCTCAATATATTTTTCTGATTATAAAACTAATTTACACCTTGCCAGGTGTGGTAGCAAACGCCTGTAGTCCCAGCACTTGGGAGGCTAAGGCAGGAGAATCACTGAGAGTTTGAGGCCAGCCTGGGCTACACAGCCTGTTAAGGACAGCCTGAACTCCTAGTGAGACCTTGTCTCAAAAAACAAAAACCAAAAACAAAAAGTAATTCACACTCATTTGAAAAAAATTTTTTAAATATTCATTAATCCTAGAGGGCTCAGGTGAGAGAGTACCAGCCTGAAGAATTATACCTCATCAGGAATGGTGGTGCACACCTGTAATCCCAGCACTCTGGGAGGCTGAGGCAGGAGGATTGAAAATTCAAGCCTACTGTGAGACATTTTAGCAATTTAGCAAGAATCTGTCTCAAAAAAGTGGGGAGGGAGCTGAGGATGTAGCCCAGTGCAAAGGCCTTGGGTTCAATCCTCAGTATCTCAAGAAAAAGAAAGATACTTGGCCTGGGGTTGTTGCTCAGTGATAAGAGTGCTTGCCTCACATGTGTGAGGCCCTGGGTTCCATCCCTAGCATTGCAAAACAACAAAACCACAACACGAAGTAGAGATATTCAAGTAGCTGCTGCCTCACTGTATGCACATGTGTGTTTAATAAACTTCCGGTTGAGTCTAAAGCTGATTCCTCCTTAAGGGGCACTGCCTAGGTAATTTCCCCCTCCTTCCTTCCACCCTCCCTCCCTGAGCCTCCCCACTGCTGGGATTACAGGTATGTGACACCACGTTGGCTCCAATATTTTTATACTATAAACAAGATTATTGTAACACCATTGTACACTTTTTTTTTTTTTTTGAGAAAGGGTCTCACTATGTAGCCCAGGCTGGCCTTGAACTTACAGTGATCCTCCTTCCTCAGCCTCCCAAGTGCTGGGATCACAGGCATGTGCCACCACTCCCAGCTTGTACACAAATCTTTGTCTTTGGTTCTATTTATTGGCTTGGGATAGATATCTAGAAATACAATCACCAAGCCAGGGGACAGGAAGGTTCCAAGGCTCTTGGAACAGATCCTCAGCTGCTGTTCAGAGAGTCTCACTTCCGTCTCCCCCTGGCTGCTTCCACGTTGCTTGTCTCATCAGCTCCCAGCAATTACGGCCACTTTGGGCAAAAAAGGATACAAGAATAGTTGCTATTAAATGTGAGAGAAAAATTGCCTAGCTGGATGGTTTTTAAAGAGGGCCATTTAGTGAGCTTTTGAAGTCTAATTACTGTTTAATCAATCTGAGGCACACAGCCTCATTATTTTCTTTTTGCTGAGACAGAATTGCAATGCAGAGTTGCTAATTTTGCCAATGCTGTAAGTGCTGTCACTTCATTGTTCACCCACCCTGAGTGGTGGATGTCCTCCCTCTCTCTCTCTCTCTCTCTCTCCCTCTCTCCCTCTCTCTCTCTCCCCTCCCCATCTGCTGAGGTAAGGGAAGGGCCCCTCAGCAGGTGGCCTCTCTCTGGGATCTCAAACCCCCGTGTGGAGGATCTGCCTGCCAGAAGCTCCATGTTCGGAGGCTGTCTTATTCCCTCCCGCTTGCTCCTCCATCCAGGTCCACCAAGCAACGGTGCCCCTGGCAGAGTTTTTCAAAGTTTGGGCTCCGTTCCTATCAGCACTTTTGGACCCCTGCCCTGGAGGGAGAAGCCCCCATCTGTAGCCCATTCCTGGAATGGAAAAGGCCACAGCATCCCTGTCTGTGCTCCAGGAGTGGAAGGTGTCCCCAATGCATCAGAGAGAGAGAGAGAGAGAGAGAAGTTTCCAGAAAGAGGAAACTGCGCCATGACCAAACCCTAAAAAGATCATATCAATCATTTCTTTTTTTTTTTTTCCTCTGGTACCAGGGATCAAACTCAGGACCTTGTGTTTGTGCAGCAGGCGCCAGAACCACTGAGCTAAATCCCTGGCCCCAAAAAATATCGTATCCACTCAAGTGTTCAGTATATTCATCCTCCGACTAGCAGTTCCCACTCTAGAAACGGATTCTCTAGGATAGTCACACATGTGCATAATGCTATATACAAGGATTTTCCTTGTTTGCGGTTTTTTTAAAAGTCCACTAATAGGAAACTGGTTAAATAAATAGAGTCCTTCCATACTCCAGGGCACCAGACACTTAAAAGTAAAGACAGTAATCCCAGAACTTTGGGAGGCTGAGGCAGGAAGATCTCAAGTTTTGGCCCAGCATGGATAACTTAGCAATTTAACAAAACCCTGTCTCCAAAAAAAGGAGGGAGGGGTGTGGTGCTGTTAAATGAAAGCAGAAGAAAAATAAGTAAAAATGGCCCTGTTGTTGAGAGGATTTCAGTGATCCCAACACAAGAAGCTGATACATGTCTGAGGTGGTAGACCAATTATTCTGACCCAATCATTACACACATGGTATTCATGTGACACGCCACCTTGTACCCCATAAAAATGTAGTTACTATGTGTCGGTTGAAATTTTGTTAAGGAAGAAATACTATTTATGTAATAGGAAAAAGTTTCTTCACTCAGCATTTAATGAGGGCCTCCTACATGCCAGATATCAGAGGTAAGGGGACAAACTACACAAAGATCCAGTCCCCATGGGATGTATATTGCTGGGGTTCAGAACTGAGCAGAACAAATGTTGGCAAGAGCTGCTGACACCGGTTCTCTCTAGGCAGGGGTAGCGGTGAGGGGAATGGTTACATATGAGGGTTTTCATATTTTACTCTATATTTTTATACTGTTTGAATTTTTCACAAAAAATATGCATCATATTCCAATTTAAAATTTTAAGAAAGATAAAATGAAATGAAATAAAATCAGTGGGAAACACAGAAATGGAGTCCATGACACAGCCAGGCCCCGAGGAAGCCAAGTACCTCTGGGACACTATGATGTCCCACAAAACCCGCTAGAGGCCAGTGTCTCTCTCTGTCACCAAGTCTCACGGAGCACACAGATGTGGACCTTGCTCTCCTGGGATGGGGCCTTCAGGTGAGTCCAGGTCAGGTTGAGGTTGAAGCTGATTTCTCACTTTTCCAGCACCTGGGAAACTGAGTCTGGCACCAGCGGGGCCCTGACAGCCAGAAGTCATGATGCTCTGATGCCACAGAAGAGTGACCCTTGGCAGCCACGTGGAGATGCTTTCAGATTCTAGTTGGGATTCCTTGTCTTTTCCCAGAAAGGAAATAGGACAGACACCTACATCCCTGGCCCTCAACACTGAGTGCACAGTCGAATCATCAAGAAGATTTCCAAAACTCCTGCCACCCACTCAGTCTCTGTCATATATTCTCTGAAATGGGACCTGGCTGTCAGGATGACTTTGATGTGCAGCCTGGTGAGAACCTCTGGCCTTGGGGAACAGTGCTGTCTCTCCCCCAGTGCTGAGGGACCTGCATCACTGAGGCTGGAAACCAGGGGCACGTCTGGGGTGACTAACTTCTTGCAGTTTACCTGGGACTCTCTCGATTGTAGCTGGGACTCCTGAGTCATGGGAAGCCCCTTTGTCCCCGGACTGGCATGGTTGGCCAGGCGGTCATGTGTGGTTATGGACACTTAAATGAGGTCAAGGGTCATGCATACAGGCTAGCCCAGACTTCCAAAAGGTGAAAGACTTTTAGGGGTCTGCCTCTGGGGGAACACTAGACACAGGCCTCTGGGTGACCACACGCCCCATGAATCCTGGGCTAGATCTTGGTATGTGTCCCCTGCTCCTGTCTGTGGGAGCCACACATAACCTTCCTGCATGAGACTGTCAACACCAAGGAGCAGGTGTGCCCTCCAAATGTCCCCACTTGGCAGTAGCAAGACCCTGTCTCAAAAAACCAAAAAAGAAAAGAAAACGAGGATGTAGATTCCTATCATGCTTTACAATTGACTGAGCTCTTTCAAATAATGATCTCAGTGGAGTCTGACTCTATGGTAGGAAGAAGATATTGAGGAAAGTAGTCCGGAGGGGTCAGACGGCTTGCCCACATCACACACCGGCTGGGGCAGGGGTCACTGCTCTTTCCACTGCCCAAGGACGTAGAGCAGAGGCTTGCACGTTTAGCTGCGCATTGGAACATCTCAGGAGCTTTCAAACTCTCAAATGCCTGAGTTCTATCCTCAGAAATTCTCATTTAATCTAATCAGATTTTTTAAATGTATTTATTTTGTGCATTTATTTGTTCATTTTGTGGAACTGGGGAAAAGACTTCATACGGAGCTACATGCCCAGCCCCTTTTTAGTCTGAAATAGTCTCTCACTAAGCTACTCAGGCTGGCTTCTAACTGGCTTTCCTCCTGCCTCCGTAGGAGGCTGATTTGGACCCACCTTTTTTTTTTTTTTTGTACCGGGGATTGAACTCGGGACCTTGAGCTTGTAAGGCAGGTGAACCAGTGAACTAAATCCCCCGTACCTTTTTTTTTGAGACAGGGCCTCACCATGTAGTCCAGGCTGGCCTTGAACAATGAGCCGGTTTAAATCTTCATTTTCTCACTTGGTTACCAGCACAGCAGAAATACGTGGTACTGGGGATTGGGCAGCACCGGATGAACGGTGGTGGTGGTGGGGATCGTCTGGAATGGGAAGGACAGATAGAGGGAAAAAGGCCTCCTAAGCTACTTGGACCAGGGTAAGGGCCACCCCAGTCAGGGTGACTCCAGGGCCTGAGGAGACATCTTCCATCTTCCCAAAGCGGTTGTTTTCTGGTTCCAGGCGCCACCACCCGAGGAGATGGCTCGTGTGGACTAGAGGTCCCCGGAAACGGGAAGTGCGGAAAGAGCGCTTCAGGCTCTGCAGGGGACTCACACCAGACAGGGTCCTCTCCCAGGGTCGCTTTGCCAGCTCCACGGAAGAATCCCGCTTCTCCTGGGCGGGTGGCCCTGGCGGAGCAAGAGGCAGCCACGACTGTGAGTCCAGAGTGCTGGCCTGGGCCGCCCCCGCCCCACCCCGCCCCGCCCCTGTGTCCACGCCCATCCGAAGTAAGGAGGTCAAACTTCCAGTTGCGCCGCAGCAACCGGGGCCACCATAGTGCGGCCCGACTCAGCCTACCCGGGCGCGCACGCTCGGCTCTTCTGCCACACCTTCGCCTTCTGCTCACTGCTTTCTTCCCTGCAGACTCACCCCGTGTTGCCCCACCCAGCAGCCCCTTCCTGCTGAGCTGATAAAAGAATCTGAAATGGGGGTGGGGGGCTGGCTTCAGTGAGTTTCATTCCCTTACAGATTTTGACTCTTAATAATGATAGTTTAAAAATAGGCTCCTGAGCCTGGCATTGTGGCGCTCGCCTGTAATCCCAGCACTCGGGCAGGAGGATCGCCACAAATTTGAGGCCAGCCTGGGCTACATAGTGAGTTCAAGGCCAGCCTGAACTGAATTATATAGCAAGATCCTGTCTCAAAAAATAAAAAATAAAAATAAAATTGAGGTCTGGTTCTGGAGGGTAAAAGATGATATGAAGACATGAATACCAGGAGCTTGAACCTAGGGCCTTGTGCAGAGCTATATCCCCAGTCACCTTATTTAAAAAATATTTTTTTGAGCTATGTTCTCACTAAATTGTTAAATTGCCCAGACTGGGATTGAATTTGCAACCCTCCCAGCTTAGCCTCCCAGAGTGCTGGGATTATAGGTGTATGCAACCACACTCATCTCTGGAGGGCCCCTCAGAGGCCACTTATTGCAGTGAGTTAATCCAAAATGGCACAGTTGTGAAGGTCAGCAGCAGCCCTTGGGGCTGAGGACGTAGCTCAGTGCTAGAACGCTTGCCTAGTGTGCAAGTGGTCTAGATTCTATCCCCAGCACCGCCAAAATAAATAAAGAAAAAGAAAAAGGAGGAGAAAGATAGGGTTCTGGTTTCCAATCTTCACTCATTCATATCCCAGAGAGGTAGGGTGACGTTTCAAAGGCTTAAGCTTCAAGCTGTCGAGGAAATAACCTTTGAGGGAGAGCTCAAGGTACCAAGATGTGTTAAAAGTTTGCCCCCTTGTGCCCTCCCCTGTCTCTGTCTCTCTTTCTCTCTGTATGTAATATGTGTGTGTGTGTGTGTATATATATATATATATATTTTTTTTTCTTCTTCTTTTTTTGAACCTGGGATTGAACTTGGGTCCTTGAGCTTGCAAGGCAAGCGGCGGAACCACTGAACTAAATCCCTGGCCCTGTAGTATATTTTTTAAAAAGTTATTTAAATTTTTGCTAAATCATAAAGAACAAAATAAAAGACAGGTAATAGGAAGTTGGGAGATAGATCTTTCTCAAATGAGGAGAACAAGAGATGATGGACAGAAGGGAGGGGAGGGGATGGAAAAGAACTAAGTGTCCAGCTTCTTTGGTTTCCTTGAATACAGAGCAAGTCCTCAGACAAATCTGGTCTCTTCTGACATGGACACCTTTGAAAAGCCTGAGCCAATTGGGTTAAAACCGTAATTGCAGGGCCGGGATTTAGCTCAGTGGTTTCACCACCTGCTGTGCAAGGGCAAGGACCCCAGTTCAATCCTGATACCACAACAAATAAACAAACAAACAAAAAACCGTAATTGCCTTAATATGATATTCTATTTCTACCTGTGGTCCTTGTCCTAGAAATGTAAAATTTATTTATGCCACCACAAGGTGGCACTCTCGGCAGCCCGTGGGCCTCAAATCGCTTGTGAAAGGGCATTTTACAGCAAACGTGTTGTGTCAGACAAGGCTCTGACAGTAAAGCCAGGGCTGGTGTTGGAAGTGCCAGTACACTTCTAATGACACACGGTGGCCTTTTGAGCAAGGCTTCTCATATGAGTACCTGGGCATCTTGTTAATCAGGATTCTGTTTAGGTAGATGTGGAGTGAGGCCTAAAATTCTGCCTTGTGTGTGTGTGTGTGTGTGTGTGTGTGTGTGTGAGGCAGGATCTCCCTTTGTAGTTAAGACTGGACTTGAACTCACTATGTAGCCCAGGCTGGCCTCGACCTTGTGGCAGCCATCCTGCCTCAGCCTCCTGAGTGCTGGGATTACAGGCCTGCCCTGCCACCACGCCCGGCTCTAAATTCTGGATTTCTAACACACTTTGGGGGACTGTGGGATAGCTAGTCTGCAAACCACACTTTGGCAGGGGTTTGAAACAAGCATTTGGAGAAATGTATTTATTTATAATTAGGCAACTATTTGTTTGTTTGTTGTGGTGCTGGGAATTGAACCAGGGTGCTCTAGCACTAGGCTACTGCCTTTCCCCTTTCCTTCTTTATTTTGAGACAGGGCCTGGCCCCTATGTCCAGCTGCTACTCTTTAAATTTTATTATATATTTTTTTGGTAGTACTGGGAATGAACACAGGGTCTTTGCACTGAGCTACTTCCCCAGCCCTTCTTTATTTTTGAGAGAGTGTTTTGCTAAGTCACTAAGTTACTCAGGCTGTCCTTGAACTTGCAATCCTCCTGCATCAGCCTCCCAGTGTGCTGGGATGACAGAACTGTGACATACCCGGTTTTCTATTAGTTAATTTTCAAGCTATAATTTTTATTTTTATTATTGATGTAAGGCCTTTTTCTCAAAGGACCTGGGGTGGCTGACAAGATGAAAGATCATATGTTGGAGCAGCTAGGAATCAGAATGGAAGAGATAGCATCTAAAGGAAGAGGGAGTCGGTGTAACTGGCACTTGGTAGTTGTTAATTACACTAATGGGGATGCAGAATTTGGCTCTCACTCCTTTGGCAGCTGAGGTTGAATAGGAAGCACGTGGGACCCCGCAGTGCTCATTGTCTGACCTAAGAAAGGCCATGAACTCAGCAGGGACTCACATCCGGGAGCAGCGGAAATCTGGGAGCGGAAGTCCCTGTGTCATCCACTGGGCTCCAAGGCAGAGGAGATTTACCAAAAAAGCTCAAAGTCCTGCATGAAGAATGTCATCCTGCTAAAAGTATCATGTGCATTCACATTCGCCCCAGTGGTTCAGGTGAATTATACTGTGATCCAAATGAAAATGAAGACTTCAGAGAATATTTTAGACATGGCTAAGAGCATCTTTTACAAATATCTGAAGTCTCACATCTCTGAATTACATTGAGCTACATCATTTCATGGATTGGATTTTCACAGATTCCACACATATTTGAGTTTCTGCTACAAAGGTTCTTTTTTCTCTTCCCACTTCCCCAAAGGGCGCTGCCCAGGCTGGGCTATCTCTAGGGCATAAAGGAAGAGTGCAGAGGGCCAGAAAGGAAGCCAGTTCTGTACGTCCAAGTTGCATGAAATGTTTGCCAGGTCTCCCAGGAGATGGAGACTGCATATCCAGGAAACTCACTTCTTCTGGCCACTGGGAAGTTGCTTCTATTAAGGAGCAGGGACAGTCCTTATGTTCTGCTGAAGCTTTTTCAAAATCTAGTTCTTTTACAAAGCCTCTGAAGGTCCTGTGAATAGTAATAAATATATATTTTTCTTCTCTCCTGAGTTCAATATCCAGTACCAAAACCAAACCAAACCAAACCAAGCAACAATTGCAAAAAGACCCTCAGATGAGCTCAATTGTTCTTTCAGCATTTGTAGATTGATAAGAACTTATCCCCCAGGCATTTGTGGATGTTTTACAATGACTACAAAGTCCCCCAGATCTTGGGAACCCACTTCCTGTTACACTGGCAAGGTGTGACCCTATGTATTTTTTTTTTTTTTTTTTTTTTTTTTTTGTTACCTGGGATTGAACTCGGGTCCTTAGCTTGTGAGGCAGGCGGTAGAACCACTGAGCTAAATCCCTGGCCCAAGAAGTACACATTGTTTTTTTTTAATGGTACTGGGGGATTGAACTCAGATCCTTGCACTTTCGAGGCAGGCAGTGGAACCATTGAGCTAAATCCCCACAGACCACATCTGCCTGGCATTCTGCTGCATACTCTATGCCACGCATAGGATCTGAACTTCGCTGGAGTCCATACATTTTTTTTTTTTTTTTTTTTGGTGCTAAGGATTGAATCCAGGGTCTTCACACTGAGCCACATCCCCAGCCTATTTATTTTTTTGTTTTGAGACAGGCTCTCACAAACTTGTGAAGCTGCCTAGGCTATGCTTGAATTTTTGGTCCTCCTGCCTCAGCCTCCCATAGTGCTGGGATTACAGGTGTGTGCCACCAGGCCCAGTTGAGACTGTAAATTCTTTAACATGAATGTCTTGCGAAAATATTCTGTATGATGAAGCCTCTGAGTGGCTGAGTAGGCTCTCTGCAGCTATGCAGGAGTTTTCTGCAGAAGGCCTGACCTAAGAACACCAAACTTGGTTGTGCAATAAATGTCACATGTGCTTCGTTATCATAAATGAAATATCACCCTTCTCTGGGCCTCCATTCTTTCAGGCTGTTGGAAAAATTAATGTTGGCCTCAGTTGGAAAATACCCTCTTCTCTCAGGTTGTACAAGAATCCAGAAGGCTCAGGGGGCCCTTAGAAAATGAGGGAAAGGAAGTTATTCTGGCTGCAGTTAGTGCTGAAGCTCCCAAGGGCCTCAGAAGGCAGCTGGCTCCCTTGGAAGAGGAACCTTCTGTCACATGAGGTGCCCGTGTCTCTGTCAAGGCCACAAGACCCAGGCCTAGGGTCCAGCCTCCCTGGTTGCTCCTGTGGCCAGCCGTTCCCGAGGGACTGGCCTCCTCTGGGGACAGGGTGGGCTCCGAGTTAGGGGACTCTCCTTTGTCTGCAGCTCCGCCTCTCTGCTGTGGGCCAAGGGCTCGAGAGCTGGGCTTCCTGGGGTTGTACACAGGGATGGCACGGACAGGAAAGAGTTCAGGGAGAATTAACCTCAGCCAAAGGTGCTGCCACAGGGACCAGAGAAGGGCAGCCTCCCTCAAGTCTAAATCCTCAGGGCCACTCCTACATAAGCGCAGCTTCAAATGCCGAGGGTCCGCCAAACAGCTGTGGTCAGAAGCTTCATGATTGAAAAAGAACTCCTGTTGCCAACTTGTTCTTCTTAAACTAACCTCGACGGAGGTCAGTGAATGGAACCTCTCTCAACCCGGGAACACACACTGTTAATCAAAGGCTGGTGGCGTGGCCACATCCAGAGACAGCTTTCGTTTCTGGCCTAGCATCTCTCCTCACTTTAGAAGACACCGAAATCCATTCTTTTCCTTTTCCTGGGATGGGGCGCCAGACTCTGTAGAAGTCCCGATAGTGGAAGATTTCCTAGTGCCACAAATTCTGACCCTCCCTACCCCCGAATAACCCAAGGCCCAAGGAGGGAGTGTTGGTGTACAAGAAACTAGTGGAATCATTTCTGGCACTAAGCCAGACATTTCTGTGCCAAGAGGTTCCAGGAAAACTAGCACATCCCAATCAGGGGAAGTAAGGCAGCAACAGGACTTTTTCCGAATGAATCCAATAAATCCTTGGGAAAATAATCCACCAAGGGACAAATACATGTAAACAACTTCATATGCTTTTGGAGGCTTTTTGTTTTTCTTTCCTAAAGAGAGAAAAATAGAAAATATCCCATGTATCGGCTTTCAAAATAAATAACTAGGAATATAAAACACATCCATAAATATAAGCCTCGGGCTGGGGATTTAGCTCAGTGGTTACGCCGCCTGTCTTGAAAGCTCAAGGACCAGAGTTTGATCCCCGGTACCAAAAAAAAAAAATACATATAAGCCTATAAACTTGAGTTCTGTGCTGGCCAGATAATGGGAGGGAGAGAAAGGGAAAAGATGAAATGGAGGAGAATAAGAAGGGGAAAGTAGGAAGCAGAGAAAGAGTAAGACATGAGTGAGGGAGAGTTTAGAGGAGGGTCAGAGAAGGAAGGACACAACAATGTTTCAGAGACACAGACTCAAAACACAAGGAAGCAAAAAAAAAAAACCACAAGGAAACAAAGCATGGGGAGAAAACAGATTGAGAGGCTCAAAGACAATGCTGAGAGGATCATGTTATTGAAGGTTAATCACTGTTTTCATACCTCTTAGAAACCTGAAAAGGCAGAGCTACGAAGAGAGGAGCCCATCTTATCCATTCCTTTCTGTACTGGGTTTCATAATGGCCTCCATGATGCACATCTACTTGGAGGCTCAGGAAGAGAATTTATTTGGAAATAGGATCTTTGGGATGCGATGAGTTACGGTGAGGTGACACCTCATTAGGGCGGGCTCTGACTTCAGTACTGGCTTCCTTACAAGAAGGCTGAGTGCAGACAGACATACACGTGGAAGGCAGTCATGTGAGGACAGAGGCAGAGGCCCGAGTGGCACAGCTGCAAGCCAAGGGACACCAAGGAACGCTGGCAACACCAGAAACTAGAAGAGCTAAAGAGGGCGCCTACCCTTTGTAGGCACATAGCATCACTGATGCCTTGGTTGCAGACTTTCCATGTCCAGAACTACGTGAGGGGAGATTTCTGTTGTTTCACACCACCCAGGTTGTGGTGATTTTTCATGGTGGCCATGGGGGAAAATAGGACTCCCAGGATGTGTGACATCTCCAAGATCGAATAATCAACTAAATGCCAATCTCCTATCCCAATACCTTTTATTTTTCTTTAAGAATTTTATTAGAAAAAAGAATTTTATTTGTTTTCCAGCATCCTTCATCCTGACTGGACCTGGAAGCAATGCTTTTCTTCTATTGTCAAAATTCATTTTGAGATAAAAATACATTTCCTGCCAACTTATGAAATCTATAAGAAGGGACAATTCAGGCTTTTGACATACTTTGGATTATGATGTTTTTCAATAAATTTACTGCCTTATTTTTTGATATTTCAAAACAATCTAAGAGATGATTACTTTTGAGAGACAAGGGCTGTCTTTTTAAATGTTGAAATCACCAGTTAATTTCAAGCAGTTTTCTAAGGACAAGCAAAGTCCTGCTGGGAATATTGGATTGTTGGATGTGAAACTGTCATTCATTCATTCGTCCATTCATCCATTTATGTATTTATTGTGGTGCTGGAGATCAACCCCAGGGCCTGGAGCATGCTAGACAAGCTCTCTACCATTAAGATCCACTCCCAGCCCCTGAGGTAGACTCTTTGGTGAGAAACATATTAGCCACTATTTGAAGGTTTTTTGGTTTTTGCTAGGGGTGCGCAGTGGTGGTGGTGGTGGGGCAAAATCTTGCTATGTAGCTCAGATTGGCCTTGAACTCATCATGTAGCCCAAGCTGGCCTCAAACTTGCAGTGATCCTCTTGCCTCAGCCTCCCAAATGCAGGGAATATAGGCATGCTCCACCACATCCAGCTGGAGTTTTTAACTGACATCAAATTATACGGTGCATATGTGAGTTCTTATTTATTTAGAATCTCTTAACCCTTTTTTGGATCACATCTCCCTTTGAAAAATGGTTAAAAGGTATGGATTCTCTCCCAGAAAACTGCACACTTGCACTATTTTTTGCACCTATTTTCAGGGATTCCCAGGGATGAGCCCCACTTGTCCCCCACCCTGTGGGCCCCAGGCTGGGGACTGCAACTGTGGAGCCTGTTCTCACACAGCCTGCTGGGAGACATCCCGACCAGTGTTCGGTAAAGCCTGAATCTGCCCTCTGTGGCAGAGGTTTTCTCTCCGACATGCTAAGGACACAGGCGGAGGATCTTAGAAACAACTTAGGCCGGATCGGGGTTCCTGCTGAGCACCTTCAGGGACCCCAGGACTGAGGCAGTGGGAATCCAGCAGAAACTCCCTTTGACAATGGCAGTGCTCAGGAGAGGACTGAGTCCCAAAGCTGGGTGACACCCGGGAGCTGACAGCGCCCCCCTGCTGTTCCTCAGGGTGCCATCCTCTCTTGTTCCAAGCCTTCTCAAAGCTTCTCCCTGCATCTGCTACACTGCTTTCCCACCTGGCACCCTCCCCCCTGTGCTCAGGCCTTTGGGTAGACCAAGCTTCCTCCTGAACTTCCTCGACCGTGTGCCTGTGTGTGCTTTCGTTTTCCCCCACAGCCCTTGCCACATCGTATTGTCACTGGTTTGTAGCTCATCAGTGCCTCTGCTGGGCTCTGGTGTGTGTCCTACTTGACAGGCAGCATGGTGGTGGCCACATGGATCTGAGCTTGGTGAGGAAATGAATGAATAATGGATATTTTTATGCAAGGACCCTCAATCTGGCCACTACTGGCATTTTGGACTTGATCCTTTGTCACGGGACACTGGTCTGTGGATACAGAATGTTTGGCAGTATCTCCACCTTCTCCCACCCCATGTCAGGAGCACATTCACCCCCGAATGACTACCAAAAACATCTCCAGACACTGTCCAGTGACCAACAGGACACAAAATTTCCCTGGTTGAGAATAATTGCTTTAACACAAGTTTGTTTGGTTTCTTTTTATTTTTATTTTTTTGGTACTGGGCATTGAACTCAGGACTGTGCACTTGCGAGGCAGATGGCAGAACCACTGAGCTAAGTCCCGGGCCCTAACACGAGTATTGATCATGAGGTCACATTGCCTACTTGAGTCTAGGTCAAGGAGTTCCATTAGCCAATCAGTAAATGGTATGTGTTCATGCAATGGGTGGCAGACCTCTTGAGGCTCAGAAGAGGATAAAAACTCTGTTTGCTAAGGACTCAGTCTTTCAGTGACCAGTGGCACTGCAAGAACATGAGAGGGAGGTGTAACTAGTGAGTTCCACCGCCTGTCCCCATCCCCACCCGCCCCGCCCCACATGGAGGATCTTGGGAGGTGTGGAGCTTCAGACGCTTGGTTATGACAGCTGGTCAGGAAAGCTGAAAACAGCATTTTTAGCCACTATATTAACTAGGGAGGACCCCTGAGTGTTATGGTTTCCTCCTCAGAAATACAGGTGGCAGGAAATAACATAAAACTGTGTGTCCGGCGGTGGGGCTTAGACACAGGAACAGGGTCTTCACTGTTTCCCTGGCCATGACCTTTGGTGGCAGCAGTGTCTGAGGAGCTGACAGTGGCTCTGGACTCTCCTCAAACCATTGGCACTTCAGGAGGTCGTTAGAGGTCATCTAATCATTCTCTAATCCTTTGGCTTTAACCTGAGTCCACGGTCCTGTATGACATTCTTGTGATACAGTGTCATGCATGTGTGTGTGGTGGTGGTGAAGAATCACTAGATGTCATCATATTTTCTTTTTTTGAGACAGGGTCTCATTATGCAGTTCGGGCTAGCCTTGAACTTGCCGAGATCCTCCTGCTTCAGACTCCCAAGTGGTAAGATTACAATATGCATCACCACACATGGCTTCATCATATTTTCAAAGGAGTCTCAATTTCTCAAATGTTAACAGTCATTTGTCTAACCTCATTTGTGAGATGAGGAAACTGAAGCCCAGAGGTTAAAAGGCTGCTTCAGCTTTTTGAAGTTGGAATCTGGCAGACCTCTTGCTGCCTTTTTGTCCAGCAGGGTCCTGAGGGCAGTGAAATCTGAGGTCACTGGATGGGTCCTGAGGATTAGTGAATTAGGAGGGTGGATGCCCAGTCAAAAGAGTTGTCAAATAAAATACAAGATGGCCTGTTATGTTTGAAACTCACATACATAAAAATATTTTAGTATAAGGATATACCAAACAGTACACAGAACATCACTAAAACATTATTTGTTTTCTGAAACTCAAATTGAAGTGGTGTCCTAGATTCTCTCTCTCTCTCTATGTGTGTCCTGCTCATCAGTCCCCTGTGACTCTGAGGCCTGAGGAGTCCTTGAATGCTCCACAGATTCTACTTGTATGTGGCCTCTCAGAAGATGACATCTCACAAGTCTCAGAAGAGTAAAGATCAAATTTATTTCATACAACACCCCTCAGGATCCCCGCGGCCCTGTCGCTGAGGTGGCCAGGAAGGCGGCTTTAGCTAAGCGCTGTCTCTCGCTCTGCAGTAACAGCCGCAGCCCCCTTCCCACCCACTCAAGACAGCCTCCGAAACATCTTAAGATCTCAGGAGATCACTTCTGTAGCAGGGAATAAATTAAAAAAAAATTAGTAAGAAAAATACACACTTCATTTTTCTATTAAAAATAGGATTTGCGGTAGGCAACCATTTCTCATCTTTTGGCCTTCAACGTGGCAGAGGAAGAAAACATGGTAAGAACATCTGTACTCCCACTGCCTTCCTCATCCACTCTCACACTTCCCACGCGGGCCTTCGTGGTGTTGTGGAGGAGTCGCACCCGAGCAGCTTCGTTACCCACTTGTGGGTGAGGTCAGAGGGGGTGTGGTGGGGGGAGTGGTCTGGTCATTTCCAAAGAACAAGCACTATCCAGAGCTTCAGGCCTTTGAAGGACCAAAGGAAAAGAAAAGAAAAACGAAAAACTAAGCCTGACAGTAGGCCATCTGCTAGAAATGATTGGGTACAAGAAAAAACAGGTGCATGCAGAGGTTCTCTATCTCTGTACAAGACAAAATATTCAAGTTTTTAAAATACTCCAGTGGCCTGTTTACTCTGATCTCCTTTCACTCTTCTGCATTGCAAGGATGCTCCAACTTGGAAGGAGGGGCCCGCAGGCGACTGAACAGCCCCTCTGTATCTCCTTATGCCTAACATTAACGCAGCAGGATGGATTTGAGAACTGGTGCCTTGGCCTGAGGAATTTCTAGGTTACATGGGAGCAGAGCAGTTTCATAAGTGCACAGAGCTCTCGGAATATGGGAATCATCTGCGCTTCTTGGGATGTGGATGTCCTGCCAGGCATGAGCACCTACTTTTGCTGTCCTAAGTTCTGTCAAGGGAGACTTCTGTTCTCTGTAAGGACAAAAGACAAAAGAAGCTGTAGTCACATCCCTAGGACTGAAGATCGCCCCGGTAGACCAACATGCAGAATGGCAGGCAGCACCTCAGAGAGGAGCCGCAAAGCTGTGTGGTCAAGTGCAGACCCCGGACCTGCCCACACTCGTGCCTCCCTCTCCGCTTGCTCTGTAGGGCCTGCTGCCTCCCTCCCTGCACACAGGTAGAACATCATCTGTGAAGCAACTGCATCTGGTGCACATGTGCACCAGGCTGTTGGCCCATAGGTGCTAAAGTCACCCATATGAATTTTAAGAGACCTGGCTTCTAGCTGTAGCTCCACCTCTAACTAGTATGAGTTGTACTTTCTCTATGTCTGCTTTTTTATTGTTTTGTTTTGTTTGTTGAGATAAGGCTGGCCTTGAACTCACTAGGTAGCCCAAGCTGGCCTTGAACTGTGGTGATCCTCCTGCCTCGGCCTCCGGAATGTTAGGATTACAGGCATGTGCCACCATGCCTGGCTAGGTCTGCTTTTTAATTTAATTTTTTTTTTTTTTTGCTTTTTAATTTAAAAAAATGAAGGAATGAACTCAAGTGATCAAATTTAGATGTTTTAAAATGATATGATTCTGTCTTAAGAGGAATGAAATTCTGATACATTTCAAAATAGATGAACCTTGAGAGAATCATGCTAAAAGAAATAAGCCAGACATAAAAGGACAAATATCATGATTCCACTTGCTCAATGTACCCAGAACAGTCAGATTCATAGAGACAGAAGATGGGACAGTGGTTGCTGGGGGCTGAGTACAGGGGCTTCAGTTTGAGGTGATGGAAATCTTCTGAATGGGAAGATGAAAATTTAGGAGGTAGTTAGTGATAATAGTTGCATAGCAGTGTGAATGCACCTAATGTAACTGCATTATATACATTTAAAAATGGTTTAAATGACATATATATCCACAATTAAAAAGTTAACCTCTTATACCATCTCGAAGTGCTCTTTAACTGCTTCAAATGCTTCTCAGGTCAGCTACCCCACTACCTGGATCTGACCTGCAGTTTTCTATGCTGAGGATGCAAAAACCTGCCCCCAAGAATTTGACATATGATCAATTATTAACAATATGGCTATGAGAGAGAAGCTAGGAGAGCCCTAGCAAAGTACAGAAGAGTTCAGAAGCAATGAGAGGAGCTGGGGTGGGCAGTGAGGGGGTCACAGAAGCGACAGGAGCTGGTCGCAAAGGTTCAGTTTTGATAAGTGGAAACAGCAGAAGGCCCTGGGTCACTATTCTGGACCCTCCATGGGCACAGGACACCCTGCTCCAGGTGGAATTCAGCAGGCACCAGCATGAGGACATGGGAGGATTGCCCAGAGTCTGGGGAACCCCATGGCTGGCTGGCTGGCTTCCTAAGGTGAGCTGAGCTGAGTCTCCATTTTGTTCTGGTCCTGCTGGGTCAGAACAGGATGCAGGATTGAGGGCTCCAACTAGAAGGTCAAGGCTCTGGCTCCTCTTCTGCCAGGACAAACCCAGAGGAGCAGGCCAAAAAGCTGTGTTGGTCCCAGAGGGCTGGAGGCCTGCCAGCGCTGGAAGCTACCTTTGTACCATTTCCTCGCTTCAGCCGGAGGAGGTAGACCTGACCCTCCTGGTGTCCAGCCTTTCTGCAGGGCCCAGAGCTGAGCCCCTCCCGGGCACCTCTGCTCTCCCCTTCTGGGGGGCAGACAGTGCTGGGCACTGCTGCACAACCAATGCCACAGACAGGAAGGATTTGGCTTGGGGGCTATGAAGTAAAGGTTAACACACTCACATCAGAGGACTGGGCCTGCTGTGCCCAAGTCAGAGGCCAGCTGTCAGCCATCCAAGTACAGCCATGGAATTGCCCACTTCTGGCCAGAACATGATACAAATCCCCTAGAAAAGCATTTGTTTCCAACACCCTCTGGATCTCTAATTCCTACTTCTAGAAAATACTGCATATGAGTACTTCAAATGTATGAGGACTGTGTCGGGTGCTCATTTAATCTTTCCAATAACTAGGTGAGGCATTTTACCACCCCTGGTCCACAGATGAAGAAACAGAGGTCTGGAGAAGTTTAAGAGCTTGCCCAGTGATGTGGCTAGTGCATGGCTAGTTAAGCACAAGTTAAGTCTGAATGTGGGTCTCAGATTCCTAGGTCAAGGCTTGGCTTTGGTTGAATCCTATTCCTTGGGGAAGCAATTGCTACATTCCACAAATGTGGCAGGGGGATTTGAGGGCCAAATAAAGTAACTTTACCAATCACATCTACTATCGCCAAAGTGGTGAAAAGAAATTTAAAGTAGATAACAGCTTTTATATGGCTGCTAAGTTTCTCATGTAAGCCTTAATAAAGCCCTAGCAAGTAGCTGTTGTTTTCCTCCTCCTCCTCGCCACTTTGTGGATGTGGAAGCTTAGGCTTGGGGGAGACTGGGATATCCCAAAGAGGGCTGCAGAGCTGAAACCCCCTCTTCAGTCTACTGAAGCCAGCTCCTAGGCAGGCTCCATTGCAGCCCAGCTGCCTGTGGCATGGGAGGTAGGAATGTGAGCAGTCACTGGGAGTTGCTTTTTTCCATAAGAAGGCAGGGTTCTCTCCAAGATCTAAAACCCTCACAGGTCTAGATTCAGCCCTCTCATGCAAGTACAGGGTGTTCTCTTTCATGTTATCTGTCTGCATAGGCCACAAATGCGATATATAAACAAGGCAAAAATGGCAGAGGAAAAGTGAAGTCAGAATGTGCCATTGAAGCCAGTCAAACAATACCAAATTAGCAGTTGGCTAAGTGGCTGTCTCATTGTTAAGATATTTCCTTCAATATGTTTTCAGAAGTAACGGCCATTAAACAAGAGGGAATGATTGCCAGGTTTGATTTCAGGAAGGAAATCCCCTCCCATTTCCCTGCTGGGCAATTCAATTAATTTTCTCCTGACCTACTCCAGCTGATTATTAGGGAAGCTATACGTGTTCCTTTTATAAACAAAACCCATGAGTTTCAAAATTCAAAATTCTTTTCCCAATGGTGGAGAACTCTTCGGCTCCCGCCAAAAGGCTGTATTGGGGGGTGGGCAGGACCAGTCTGCATGAACTCCCAGAAGCAGACTTTTGGGCCCACGGTTCAGCTTCTAGGGAAAGGGAAAGTTCAGTCTGGGCGGGAGCTTAGAGCCTTTGCCCAGAAAGACTCTGGAATGAAGACAAGGTAAATAGGCTGGTCCTGCTCTCTGTTGATCCCCATTGGCAGTAGCCTGAGGCTGGGGACACAGTCACATTTATTGCAGAAGGAAAACACATTTTTATCAGTCTCCCACACCGCCTGTGGGGCAGAGTTTCCACTCTCCACTCTTGCAACACCGCTACTGCTGGGACAGAAGCAGCGTTTTGTGGGCAGGAGACTTGTGGTGTGGACAGAGAACTGGCCAGGGACCCCTGAGACCTGGGCTGTATTCCTGGGACTGGGTAACTCAGGGCAAACTGTTCTGTCAACCCAAGCCTCAGTTTCTTCATCTATAAATTGGGCTCCCCATCCTTCTGATGCAGTGGTCTCTGATTTCAGGAGTCTGAGGGGGTGTAGACTAGAAAAAGACGTTCCTTTCATTCTTCTGTTCCTTAAATTGATAGCTTTCCTCCACAAAAAGAATGTCAGTGGCTTCCTGCTTGTCAAATGCATAACAAGCTCTTTTTTACAAGAATTCAGTCTTGGGCAAAAACAAAGGAAGCCAGAGGCCTACTGGAAGGGGTTGCAGAAGTCTTACAAAAAATTCCTCCCAGACCTTAAAGACGCAGTTCATAAAACGGACTCCTCATTTCTTAAAACAGCAGCTGCCCTGTTAACTCCTGCACCGCCGATAAGCTCCCAGAAAGGTTGCGAGTGGGAAGGTTAGCGAGAGTCAGGCCTTTGCAGTTTTAGCTTGGGCCTGTGTCATTCTTACCAAAAGAGCAATGAGTATCGTAGATTCCCAATACTTTGGTGGGGGGACTCTGAGGGTCCCCCTCCCGATGTGGGCTGAGATGTAATGATAGAAACAGGTGGGGGAGATTATTCAAAGTCAGAACTGGCAAAGGTTAGTCAGAGGGTCCTGGTTTAAATCAGACTAAGCCAATATGGGGTAGGAGGAAGATTGGTGGAAGGCAGGCCCTGGGAGAATCGGGAAATATTTTGCTGTTCCGTGAAGAGTGTACTTACAGAATATCTGTTTTCCACAAAATCTGCAAGACAAAGAATAGCATGGTGGTGAGCAATGCAAAGATCTGGCTTCACCACCAGATTTCAGGGGCTAAGGGGCGGGAGCAGGTCCAGGAAAGACAATGACACAGAAGGGGATGCCAGGCCACATGCTGACTCATTGCTCAGGTTTATGGCTCCTTGGCTCACAGATAGGTTCCCAGGGACCCCCTGGTTTCATGTGACAGGCATGTAAAGTCCTTGCCACATTATTTAACATTTTTAAAAGTTTAAAAAATATTAGTAGCAAGCCAAGTGTGGTGGTGCACACCTGTAATTCCAGCGCTGAGGCTGAGGAAGGAGGATCACCCAAGAGTTCAAGGCCAGCCTGAACTAAAAATGAGATCCTGTCTAAAAAAAATAAAATAGCAGATGTGTTTTACGAAAAAAATTGAAAATTTCAGGAAAGTGGAAAATAAAACACCTCTGGAAAGTAGGAATAAAAGCTTTAATCCCACTCTCCCAACCCTGCTGACACTTTCCCTGGTCATTTTCCACTGAGTAGACTTTTTTTGAAGGGGGCAGTTATATAGTATATGACATTTTATATCCTATCTTTTTCTTTTCTTTTTTTTTTTGGAGAAAAAGTCTTACTTTGCAGTTCAGACTGACCTTGAACTCACACCAATGCTCCTGCCTCAGCTTCCCAAAGTGCAGGGATTATAGGCATGCACCACCACGCCCAGCTCCTATCTTTTTCATATGACATGACTTTACAAGAATTTCTGGTACCTTCTTAAACATAATTGTTAAAGTAGCAAGATTATAATTGTTAAATGGATGTGCAAGGGTTTATTTAACCAGTTACTTACTTCAAAAAGTTAGATTCTTAAACTGAGCAGACAGGAAGCTGTGTGGAGGGTAAGTTGCTGCCTGCATTAGTCAGAGGCAACTTTCACTGCAAGGGACAAGCGAGGGGAATGGTTTGGCCTTCTGGATAGGACCAGGCCCCACTCACACCAGAATGCCTGAATTCTGGACACAGACTTGAAGACACAGCAGCTACGGGGACCTCATCTGCTGCCTGGAAAGACCTGAGAGAAGGTGTTGCTGCTCTTAAAAGTGGTGCAAGGGGGCTGGGGATTTAGCTCAGTGGTTCTGCCTCCTGCCTCGAAAGCACAAGGTCCCAAGTTTGATCCCTGGTACCAAAAAAAAAGAAGCAATAAAGAAGATTACCTTCACCTTAAAATGTTTTCTTGGGCTGGGGATTTAGCTCAGTGGCACTGCGCCTGCCTGGCAAGTGCAAGGTCCTGAGTTCGATCCCTGGTACCCAAAAAAACACAAACAAAATCAAAACAAAACAAAAATAGAATTTAGTGGGTAGCACCTTCAGTTTTTGCATGAAGCACTTTTTACCACCTTGGATGCTGAAGGAGGAAGTGCCACCCTGAGAAGACAGGTTGGCAGTGCCCAATGGCCCAGCTGGCTCTGGGCCTCACAGGATGGGTGGGGACTGACTCTCAAGTGTTCTCTGCCTCTCAGATGGGACTTGGCCTAGAGGCCTCCTTTTCTTTGGTTCTTTCTTGATGACCATTTCCTGTTGTGACTATTCTCAACCCAGCCACTTGTTATACAGGGTGGCAGGGAATGCAGTGGGGACCAGGGGTTTCTGCCCTGTGAGGACTAAATTCCATCTTGGAAGTCTGAATTCCAAGCAGAGAGAAAGCAGGAGTGGAAGGCTGAGGGAGCTGAATTTCAGATAGGAAGGGGCCCCCGTCTGGCTCAGTGGATGGGGCAAGGACTCGAAGTAAGACTCAGTGTCTCTCCTAGGGCCAGGGGGATGGGTAGGAAGTACTCAGATCACCTAGCAAGGTGAGCACAAAATAAAAAACAGCTGGCATCTGGAGAAGAAATCTCTTGTGGGATAGTCCCAGGAGCTGAAGTCCCTAAGCCAGGATTTCTTGATGTTGGCCCTTATTGACATTTCGGGCTGGATAACTCTTTGTGTTGGCAGGACTGCCCTCAGTACTGTGAGATGCTTAGCAGCATCCATTGCCTCCACTCACCAGATGCTACAGCTTTACCCTCTCCCAGCCAAGTTAGGACAAAAATGTTTCCAGAGTTGCAGGAAAGGTCAGGAGTAGAACGCCTGCTTAGCGCGTGCAAGGCCCCGGGTTCCATCCCCAGTGTAACAAAATAAATATCCTATCAGGAGGCAATGAGCACTGGTCCCATTCTCCTAAGAAGCTAAAGCTTACTAAAGGCCAGTGGTTCTCTCTATTCTTGGGTCTCTCTCTATTTGGTGTCTTTCTCATACACTTTTCCTAATTCTGAGAATTCTTCCCCTTCCTTCTTGAACAGCAGGGAACAGGCCATAGCCATGGATGATATAGTAGCTGGAAGGGAAAAAACCCCCTACAGTTTCCTTCCCTTAGTCTAAGGGTTAATTGCAGGGATAAGAAGATGTTAGCTTAGCTATATGTCAACACATAGCAGGCTCCCAACAAAACAGCAGATTAGCAGCACCCTGGCCATGATCCAGATGGGGACACAAAGGGTTGAGTCAGGAGATGCTGCCCCTGCTCACTTTACAGAGGGTGCCTGTCCACCACAGTCCTTACCCACCCGAGGCCCACTGAGGTGTCCACCTGAGCAAGAGGCATTTTACTGAGACTCGATGAGAAAACTAATGTCAGAGGCAAAGGAAGGGTGAGAGCCAAGCCACATAACCCAATAAGGGTAGAGCTGCCACCAGAATCCAGTCTGCACGTGTTACTCAGGGTATTTCCCAAGAGGTTCACAGTATAAAGAGCCATCCAGGCTGCTCTAGCTAACATGAGGACACCAGAAACACAGTAAGCTGGCCCTGGGGTCCAGGACAGAATTCAGATGTAAGGGAAAACTTGGGCTTATGAGTAAATATCTATGCAGTCTAGTTCAAGGGAGAAGCTGGGGTGGGTTAAGAATTAGAATTAGCTTCAAGGGTACCCAGGGGCTAACTCTTAAGAATAGACTGATTCCAGCCTGGGTATGGTGGTGCCTGTCTGTAATTCTAGCTACGTGGGAAGATGAGGCAGGAGGATTGCAAATTGGAGGCCAACCTGGGCAACTTAGCAAGACCTTGTCTCAAAATTTAAAAAGGCGAAAGGTGGCCGGGGATTTAGCTCAGTGATTTCACTGCCTGCTATGCAAGCGACCCGAGTTCTATCCCCGGTACCAAAAAAAAAAAAAAAAAAGCTAAGGATGCAGCTCAGTGATTTAAAAAAAACAAATCAAAAAGACTCAAGCAGACAGGTCTGGAGTGACCAAGGCAAAGTCATACCACCTGCATGTCCAGATGGCAGCACCTTGAGACTGAATGTTGTGATTGGAAGGGAACTTAAGGTCACTGGCTTGATCACCTCATTTGACAGATAAAAAAGCTGATTCACAAAGACAGAGGGTAGAATGGTGGCTGCTGGGGGTGGGAAGGAGTTAACGCTTTATGGGTGTGGAGGTTTGTTTTGGAAAGTTGGAAAGGTTTGGGGGGGGCGGGCTGATGGCTGTCCAGTAGGCTTAAAGCTCTGACCTGTACACTTGAAAATGGTTGAAATGGTGATATGTATATTTTACAGCGGAAAAAATAAAAGCAAAAACCCTAAGCTTGTAACATAAAGCCCAAACTGCAAAGATCAGACACCTCTCATGGCCTATGAGCTCACCCAGGGACTCATGCCTTTTTGGTTGCCCCCAAAAGTTTCTCCAGGGCCCTGCCCTGGGGCTGCTCCTTGGAGAAAAGCCTGCCCTGGCCCTTTTGCTTATTGAGGGGAGTGGTTTTCCTTTGTATCACTCCTCAGGGGAAAGGGGGTTCAACAGCCAGAACTACACTGACCAGCCAGATGAGCCATTTCCCAAAATAGTCCCGGCTGAGTGCTGCTGGTTGGAAGACGGTGTGGAATGAGAGAAAGAAACATTAGCTAAGATCCCATTCTGTACTCAGGGGGCCAAATGATCTATCTGCTCAAGCCCCTGCCTTCACCGGGAAGTCATTTTTTTTGAGGGGTTATCCCCCCACACACATAGTGTTTCTGGATTTTCCCACCAGCCAAACCTGAGCAATCGCTCCAGGATTTATAGGGAATAAGAAAGGCCCTGGTTAGGGTGGAGATTTAGCTCAGTGGTGCTGCCGCAAGCACAAGGTCCTGTGTTCGACCTCTGGTACAAAAGAAAAAAAAGAAAGGCCCTGATCCTTCTAACAAGGAGCAGAACCTGCATGGCAGTCAGGAGAGGGCACAGAGCACCTACAGAATGGTTCTCAAGGTGTATTCCTCAGGCTGCCAACCATACCAGCAGACTGTGGGAACTTACTAGAAATGCAAATTATCCAACCTATGGAATCCGAATTTTTTCTGGGGGGTGCCATATAAGCTGTGTTTTAACAAATTGGAGAGCCATGGATTTATATCTAGCCCATTCCTCTGATCTCACAGAGAAGGGGACTGGGGCCTTGAGTGTTTCCATGATCCAAGTCCCTGGCCAACCAGGAACCACCTGAGGATGTAACTCTTCTGAAGAAGATAGAGTTGGATTCTCCAGTTAAGTTAATGACAGCATAGAGACTAAACCATGAAAGATGGACAGTGCAGAAGCACATGGCCTCTTTGGTTTGGCATCAGAGGGGAAATGGGAAGGCTTGAGGAGCACCACCCTGGACCAGGCTCCCTAGAGTCAATCCCTGCTCTGCCACTGGCTGTGGGATAAGGACACAGTATTTAACTCCTGGGCCCATTTCCTCACCCCCAGAGAAGTAATAATAAAGCCCTCATCACCCTACAATGCTCTTGAGGATTAAGTGAGGGCTCTGAGGTCTCACACACAGAGAGTGTTCAGCAAACATTAGCTGTAACTATAGCAGAGGAAGAAGAAACTCTCTAAACCTAAAGGGAATTAGATTACAGAGAGAAAAAAAATTAATATGCAACAAAAGAGATACTCAGTCTATACAAATGGAGGGACACCCAGTGCAAGGAAGTGTGAAGAATTTAGAGTGATGACAAATGTGGAGATGATTATGAGGATGCGTGGGATCTATAATAAGATTGGAAGGAAGTTCAAATGAAGGGATGCTAAGGATGAATGTGGAAAAAGTCCAAGGAAGGAGAATTATCAGGGGCTAAAGGATCTGGCTCCTTGGAGAATCATCTTGCTTCTTCTAGGCGAGAAGGACCTGATTTGGAGTGAGGTGTAGAGGAAAGGAGATTATATTGAAACTGGTTTCGGTTAAGGAAGTCCCAGAGAATTGAGGAGCGCTATCCCTGCCCTTTAGCAAATCAGTAAGAGGAAAAGAAAGAAAAGGAGTCAGCCGTGGCCAGTAGGATCCTCAGCAGCAGCTGAGAGGAAATATTCAGAAAGAGGAAACCCCTTGGCTTCCAGCCTTAGGTGAGGTCAGGCCGCAGGCTTTAGGCAGCCGCAGGTCCCAAAGGTGGAGCCCAAGCAAGACTCAGGACTTTCTCCACCCTCAGCCCCAGGCAGGGTAGAGCTGTCCAGCTCTCTAGGTTCTCTATGGAGGTTGGAGACCTTTTGGCAAAGGGACCAGAGCCCTAACTGTCCCTCAGGGCCCAGGTTGGGCAGGGAGAGCAGCCTGGTCTGGGATTTGGAGACCACTCTAGTCTAGTCCTGGGCAAGGTCCTGTACTCTAGGGCCCAAGTTCCTCTTGTGGTTTTTTGGGGGTTTTTTGATACTGGGGATTGAACTCAGGACCTTGTGTTTGTGAGGTAGGCAGCGATCCTCCTGTTGTTGGGTTTTTTTTTTGGTACTGGGGATCGAACTCGGGACCTTGTGCTTGCGAGGCAGGTGGCAGCAGAACCACTGAGCTAAATCCCTGGCCCTGATCTTGCTGTGTTTTTAAACTAAAAATATGTCAGGGATAGTACACTAACTACTTGGGATAAGTAGTAATGTCTCCAGGGATCTCTCTTTTTTTTTTTTTTTTTGGTATGTGGCTCGAACTCAGGACCTTGCGCTTTCGAGGCAGGCAAGGTTGCCACTGAGCTAAATCCCTGGCCTATGATCTTATCTTTTCAAAGACAGGGTCTCACTATGTAGGTCAGGATGGCCTTGAACTCACTATGTAACCCAGACTGGCCTCAAACTTTCAGCAATCTCCTGCCTCAGCCTCCTGAGTGCTGGGATCTTGTGGTCTTATCCCTTTTCTCATTCATCCCATCTCCATGAAATAGTTGAAGAAACCGACTCTCTGAGGGCTAAGACATCTTGGCCGAAGTCACACTGCTGGTAAGTGGCAGTACTAGGATAGAGGCTCCACATCTTTCAGCAAAGCCAAGGCTCTTCGCCAGCATAATACTACTAGGTTGGGTTCTACGATGTCCGTGGTTCCAGTCTTGAGGGAGGGATTAGTTTTGCAAAGCTCAGGACTGAGTATTCTAGAACCAGCCCGGCGTCTCCAAGAGAATCCACCTGAAGGAAGACCTGACTACCCTAAAGCAGATGCAGGAAATCAGACTTCAAAGTGTACTTCAAAATATCCATTTTGGCAATGAGGGCAAATGAAAATCAACAGATGTAGAAGGGAGCCTTTCCAGAGCTTTCTTATCTGACTAAAAGCAGTAACTTCTGAGCCATGGAAACTGCCATAAATGCTCCTGCCAAGGAAGATTTAAGGCCAGGAAGACAGAATGGTGCCTCCAAGATGGACCTGCACAAAAAGACCTCACTCTTCTACTTCTCCCAGATATTTAATTCCCTTTGGAAGCCAAGAGCCCCTTTTCCTTTGTTAAGGAGCTGTAAAGACCTTAAGTTCTAACTACTCATTGGAGTTACTCACTACTGAGACTTCTCCTGTGCTGTGTGTGTCACAGCTGTAACAGGGCTGCCACTGGTAGCTCTAGGTGCCCACAGACTGGCTGCCTCAAGGCAGAGGTGTTAAGGAGATGGCTTCCGGCAGGGATCTCTGCACCCTCTGTACTGTACCAGCTCCCTTCCCAAAACCAAGGGAGTAAAGCCCTGTGATCTAAGTGTGCAGGCTGGCTCTTGGGAAGCCTGGTTCTTAGGGGCTTGATTGCTATATGACCTTGGAAAGTGTCTTAATCTCTTCTGCCTCAATATCCTCATTTGTAAAATGGGATTTATTGTGAGCGTGGAAAGGTATGATGTACATAGATCATGTAGTATATTCAGAAAGCACTCAAATATGAGCTTTTGCAATGAACAGAGCAACTGAAAGCCAGCACTTCAGCGCTGAGCCTCTGGAGCGAGCAATCTCAGGAGCCACTAGGAAAGCAGAAGGGGGCTTTTTGCATGATTTCCCAGTGGGATTGACCTCAAACCCTACCTTGCTTTTACCTTTCTGTTCCACTGGACAAATAGAGGAAGCCCATTTATTCAGATTTACATTTTTCTAGCTCTGAGTATACTGAGAATGTAAAACAGGTACTCGAGCCAAAAATTCTCCAGAAAATGTTTTTCAAAATTCACTCAGTGTCAAGTTCCATGAGAGTCTAAGTTTCTGCTCTAGTCATGAATATACTAATTTTTTAAAAAAATGCATTAAGGGGGCCAGGGATTTAGCTCAGTGGTTTCACCACCTGCTGTGCAAGCACAAGGACTTGAGTTTGATCCCTGGTACCCCCCCCCCCCCGCAAAAAAAGATGCATTAAGGAGTGATCACCATTTGAGATAAAATGTAGGTTATTTAGGTCATTGAACAGATCCTTTAAAACTGCATTTCTCAAATGTTGGTGGTGTCAGAAATAAGCCTGGGAGGTTATTGAGTTTGGATTCTAGAGAATCTGATTCTGCAGATCTGGGTTGGGCCTGAGACTGCTGCAGCTGCTGCTGGTTCATAGCCAACACTCAGAGCAGCCACTTTGTACAGACATTCCCCAGCCAATTAGAGTCTACTGTACAAAGCCAGGGAGTCACAGAACTACTGTTTCCCCTGGTGTGTTTATGCTTTATGCTGACTTACTTTCAGAATTTAAAAGCAGTCTGTGGATTTCATTTCACCAGACTCAAATATGAAACCGGTACAAGAAATGAATCCAGTGCTTCCCCAGTCCATCCCTGCCTGAGCACCCTTCAGCAAGGAAGCAGTGGATGATGACAGGAGCCAAGAGAGGCAAAGGAAAGCAAAGGAAAAGGGAGCCGATTTGTAAACCCACCCCCAGCCCCGAAGCCAGTGCACTCACTAGGATCGGCTTTCCGGATCTCACTGTACACTGTGTCTGTGCCCTTCGTTCCTAGAACTGGAAAAGGGAGCAAGCATAAGTTAGTAGTTGCCTCTGGCTCCAGGCCAGCACACTGTTGTGCCTTCCACCCACCCCAGCAGTGCCTTTGTCCAGAAGCACCAAGACCTTGTCACTCCCAATCTCAGAAGATCCCAGTCTAACCAGTGTCTCTCTTAGACTGGAAGTAAAAGGTCCACAGGCCATCATGAGACAGGGCTGCCTGGAGAGAGGAGCCCTAGACCTAACGACCTAAGTCCCTGTACTCTGCATAGGCCTGAAGCCCCCAGCTCAGTGTCTGCACCCTCTTTCCCTGCCACAGCAACCCCGTGTCAGCTGCTTTGCCAGGGCTGGGCTATGGCCTTTTAATTTCCTCATTCTGGACTGAGGATGTGAATGGCATTTTGGTCTAGAAACTGCCATCCAGTTCTGCTGCAAAGAAAGGGCCTGGAGAGCTGTTCACTTTGTTCTAAGAAGAACTTGATGTTAGAAGTCAAACACACTTTTTTTTGGTACCAGGGATCGAACTCGGGTCCTTGTGCTTACGCAGCAGGCGGCAAAACCACTGAGCTAAATCCCTGGCCCACCAAACATGCTTTTAAGAATGGTTTTGCACTTTGAATTGCAGTTTTCACTGAGACATTCTACTGGTGCCAGCTCTCCCATAAGCCAAAGGAAGGGGATGAAATAAAGTGCAGTTCCTTCTCATAGAAAGCAGCTAGAATTCTTGTGGTATGGCAATCACCTCCACTCCAAATCTAAGAAACCTAGACCTGGATCCCCAGGTCTAGCTTGGAGCCTGGCATCACAGTGACTGTGAAATTCAGTTGGGCCTGAGGAAGGCCCACAATTCCAGCTGGACTCGCTAAGAATCCACTGTAGAATCTGAGCACACTGGTCTGGGCCAGGCCCGGAGGTGGTGTTTCTAAGACTCCTGAGGAGATTCTAATAGGCAGCTGGGGTTGAGATCCTCCAGGCTAGACTATTTCAGAACAGGTGTGAATTACATCCAGAGGTGACTTGCAGGCTTGGGAGATAAAGAACACCCTAGGGCCACTCATTTTTTTCATGCAGAGGTGTATACCCAGGCCGTATGTACACAGTGTTTCTGCACCCACACATGCACGGTGTGTATACACATATGCACTGTGTAAATCCTCATATAGTGTTCACATACAGTGTCCCTATGGATGTGCACAGTAGCCACACTCATACACGCAGGTGCGCACACATGCACACCCGCAAACCCTGAGGAAACAGGATGGAACCTGACCATTTCCCAGATCCTCTCACCTACATGAAAGACCAGGAAGTCTCACTGTAGAATGGAACCTCACATGGGTGAGAAGACCCTATGGGTGGGCCCAGATGGGGAAAGGGACCCCATGGTGTAGCTAGGGAAGGGGGGTGGTGAATTGGAGAGAAGGCTGGGTGCCCAAGCTTGGGGGCCTGATATCTTATGAATTTCACTAACCCCCAGTCATGTTGGGGTGGCCAGGAGACCTTTCTGGTCACTTTGGAGACACCAACACTCTCTGGGCTCAAGAAGTGGAGCTGGACTCCCTTCTATCCCCTTACAATGCTTACTAGCCAGGGCAGCATGAGTGATTGCTACTGGATTGAGCTGTACTGCTGGTTTCTACTGCTGCCCCAGCCCCTCCTGTCCTGCCCAGCTCAGTTGCTGTCTCTCCTCCTCTTGCTGCCCTGTGGCAGCAGCTGCCTGCTAATGACTAAACCAGGCCAGCAGGCTGTTTGTCTCTGCTGTCAGCAGTGTTTCCGGATGGAGCTATATTTTAGCCTCTGTTTTTCTCTGTGTTAAAAGAGAAAGAGATGGCTTCAACGTCATGGGGTTTTCCCAGCAATTAGTCTCAGAGCAAACATGCAGCAAACCGAGGTTTAACAAGTTCCTTCCCGCCCCTCCTCTCCCCACAGTGACCACTTGGTCAGCTGCCAACAGGTCTAGGGCTTCTCTGTGATAGGGGGAGGGGGAGGCCTTGAGAACAGGACACTGGGTTTGCCAAGACCAGGTCACTGGCCCATCACTGGCCTTGAAGCCACACAGCCCTCTCCTCGCCTAATAATGCCCCCCCCCATGGGAAGGCAAGGGGCCAACACCAGAGCTCAGGCCTGTCCTCCCACTGTCACTTAGCTCCAAGGAGGAGGCTGGAACAAGAAAACTCAAGTTGGATCACTCCTTCGAAGTGGTGGCGAACCTATGGCACATATTTGTTATCACTGAAAGCTCCCCATTGCCCCCCAACTGACACTGGTTCCAGCTCTACACAGGCTCTTGCTGTGCAGACAGCACCTTTGTGCAAGGTGGGAAAGGCAGCCAAATGGTTGGATGCAACTTGTGTCTGCAGAGCTTGGTGAGGAAAGCAAAGGGCAATTTTCTCTGCCTCACCTTATCCTAGGAATTTTGACCTCACTTTCCCCTCAACCCCTGTCTATTTTAAGCAAGAAAAAGAAAATCACATGCCACTAACATGGGCACATTCCTAAAGAATGGAAAATGGACACTTTCCCAAGGGCAGAACCCTGCTTCCTTCTTTCTTCTTCAGCTTCCTTAGGTCCAAAGCCTTCAGGCATTCTGCACAGCCCTTGGTTCCACCGGCGCAGCCCAGGCAGGAGTGGAGCAAAGGCAGGGCCTGGCGCTCTGTGGGAGAAGCCAAAGCCAGGAGCCAGAGCCCAGGTTAACAGGAGACTCCACGGCTAGCGCAGGGATGGAAGACATGCAGTAATTTGGTCTCCCTGTCCTCAGGTGTGCGGAGGCTTGTGGAGGACAGCAGGGCTCTCCCACTTACACTGAAAGTCAGCGTGGCCCTGCTCCCTTGTCATCCTTCTGCTTTCCTGACATCCCTGAGGAATAAACTCCGCCCCGCCCGGGATGCAGGGTGAGGGGTGTGCCCTGGTGGGGCCCATCACAGTCCCAGTCCCACCCGTCGCAGCCCACTTCAACTGGTTTCTGAGCACCAGGCCCCTGTGCGGTCTCCTTTAGCAGTCTGGGGAGGTCTCTGGAGTTGCTCCATCGAGAAGCATCAGCAATCCTGTCTCTTCTGACCTCGCCATTCTATCGTCACTGGGTGCTGTGATCTGCCTCTAAAACATACGTGGAATCTGTGCTGCCAGCACGCTGGCCCCACCTTGGTCTCCCCTCCCTGGTGGTAACATTTCATTTTTCTTCCCCCCCTGGTACTGGGGATCGAACTCAGGATCTTGCACTTGCCGGGCAGGCATGGCGGCTGAGCTAAATCCCCAGCCTGGGGTGGTTAAGGAAGGAAATTGGAACCTGCCACATCCTTCCCTAAAACCTAATCCAAATGCTGCCTAATCCATTTAAAATAGGATGCAGTGCCGGAGACCTGGCTCAGTGGTGCCACCACTTGCCTTGTAAGCACAAGGTCCTGAGTTCGATCCCCAGTACCAAACCAAACAGGATGCAAAGAAAACCTTAGATGCCCTGTGTGCTCCAGCCCAGCACATTCCCCCCCCCCTTTTTGTCTCTTTGCACACACACAATCCTTTTTTTTTGGACTACAGATTGAACCTAAGGCCTTTGCACTGAGCTACATCCCCAGCTCTTTTTAAACTTTGAGATAAGGTCTTGCTAAACCATTAGGTTGCCCAGGCTGGGCTTGAACTTGTGGTCCTCCTGCCTCAGCCTCCCAGAGTGCTAGGATTACAGGTGCATGCCACCACCCTTGGCTGTCCTTTCAGATCTTAAATGAGCCAAGCTCTGAGCCACCTCACACTGCCCTTCCTATTTCCTGGGTCCTCCTAGCCCTCCCGCTTGGTGGGGGCTCAGCTTAAATGCCAGCCCTCAGAGAGGCTTCCTTGAACTACCCAGAAAGACCAGAGAAGATAGCCCCTTTCTTTATGCCTTCTCACTGAACCTCATTCTGCTTCCTCTTAGCACTAATGATCACCTGGGACCATCTATTCTTTGCTTCCTTGTCTTCCTGGCTCTCTCGTAGGCTCTACTTCAAGGAAAGGATCATCTGTGCCTTGCATAGCAGCTGGTCCTTCATCCTTATTTGTTATCTCACAAGTGAATGGAAGGACTTCAAGCCTGTCATGCCCCTGACGCTTGCAGGTACAATGGGCACTTAGAAGCAGAATGCCCCTGTGTAGCTGTGCAGATTGGGCAGTACACACCTGGGGGCCATTCTAACTAGAGGCCATGAGAAAGGGGTGCAGCACACAGCCCAGGGCTGCTTGGGGCTGGAAAGCTCTGTGACACGGTGCCCAGAGCCATGCTGTGCAAGAGGAGGAAGGCCTCCGAAATCCCTCCAGACCATGGAGCGAGAGGTGGCTCTGGCCAGTGATGGGCAGGCCTGCTTAGCTGAAGACCCAGCCCGGCCTTATTCTCAGTGGGAAAGGAAAGGGATGGCACAAGGCCTCGAAGGCGTTCCAGCAGGGCCGGAAGGCTCAGGATGGCTATTTCCTTCCAGCATGCCTCTGGGGAGTTAAGATGGAGGAGGCTGGGAGAGGTGTGTTGTTTTCTGGTGCCAAAGGCAGCTGAGACTGATGTTCTGTGGACCTGCCCACTCCATCGATCTCCCAGCACCTAAGCAGAGCTAAGAACCGCCAGGCTGCCTGTCCTTGAGAGAGCTACACACACAAGGTATAAATCCAGTCCCACCATTCAGACTCAAAGAATTTTGGGGCTTTTAGATTCTTTACCCAAGTATTCCTCTCAAGAGCAGAGTCCTCTGTACCTTCAAACATGCATTTGAGTGATACACATTCAGTCTCCTCAGGCAACTGAACAAGCTAGGCATGGTGGCGCATGCCTGTAATCCCAGCACTCTGGAAAGCTGAGGCAGAAGGATTGAAAGTTTGAGGCCAGCCTGAACAACTTAGCAAGACTCTGTCTCAAAACTAAAAAATTAAAAATGGGCCTAGGATGTAGCTCAGTCAGTCACCATCTGGCATCTAGTGAATGCTGACTACATATTATTGTTATTAGTAGTGCCATAATTAATGCTTATTAGAATTTTATAGCTCCTGCCTTAGGTACATCCAGGAGACCCTTCTCACTGAGCACAGCATCCCACCTAACTGAGAACAAGGCCTGGGCTTTGCTCACTCCAGTGGGGTGCTTACCTTGGTGGGGCTCCACTGAGGACACTTCCACTTCTGTGTACTCCACATCTGAGTTTGTAGAATCTGTTTAAAGGAACCACAGCACCCTGTGTTTAGACAGCGTCTGCCTTGGGGGATGTCTCCCCAAAGCCTCTTGCACTCATAGGTAGGGCTTTTGGAAGTGACTGATTATGGGTGAGTGATACTGGGTCATGGGTGTGTGATTCTGGATTCGTCCACTGATTGGTTTAGCATGGTTGTGGGTGATGGGTTTACTGAAGAGGGAAGACCCACCGTGGGTGTCAGTGGCACCAAGCAATAGGCTTGTAGCCTGGATGGAATAAAAAGGGAAAGAAGGCTTGCTGCTTCCTGCCTGCCATGGACTATCTCTCCTCTGCCATGCCCCTCTGCCATGCCACTCTGCCTTGGAGCCAGCCAACTATGGACTGAAACCTCTACAAACTGTGAGCTAAATAAACTTTTCCTCCATTAATCTGTGGGTATCAGGTATTTTGTCCCAGAAATGAGAAAGTAACTAAGACAACCTGGTTCTTTCCTACTTGGATTTAGGTTGTGTTTCCATTAAGGACCCTAGATAGCATCTTTGGAGAATCAATTTTATTTATTTTATACAATCTATTTTATCTATTTTATACATGAGTTAGTTACAAGGACATTAAAAAGGCTGGGAAGGGGCCAGGGATTTAGTTCAGTGGTTTCACTGCCTGCTGTGCAAGCTCAAGGACCTGCGTTCAATCCCTGGTACCAAAAAAACAAAACAAAGCAAAAAGGCTGGGTAGTTATCCAGCTGCCTTAAAGTTTTAGTTTTCTTTTTTCTTACAGGTCTTTTTTGTTTGTTTGTTTGTTTTGTTTTTGGAACTGGGGATTGGGCTTGGGTCCTTCTTCGGTGGAACCACTGAGCTAAATCCCCCGCCCTACAGGTCTCTTTTTAATGCAAAAGCTTCAAATGAAAAACTCAATTAGATAATTACCTTTACTTTCATTTAGTGGTTTCATTGCATGGTTTCCAACTTCATCACTGTAACCTAGTTGAAAAATAACAACTGGGATGAGTGACAATAGAAATTCTAGTTTTCTATAACTAAAAATTCATCCAGGCATGGTAGTGCATGCCTGTAATCTTAGCACTGTGGGAGGCTCAGACAGGAGGATCACAAGTTTAAGCCCAGCCTAGGCAACTTAGCAAGACCCTGTCACACACACACAAAAAAAGAGTAGGGGATGCAGCTCAGCGTGAAGGCTGAGTCCAATCTCCAGTACCACTAAAAACCAAATAAACAGAAAACAAAACAAAAAACTTATTTTCTGAGGTACTATTATAGAATTAGAGAACATGGGCATATTATTCACAAACCTGTTGATAAAGAAAATTCTCCAAATGTGGTCTGGGGCAGAACTTTGCGTGATGTAATGAGAGCCCCTTGGGGGCAGTAGCTAGCGTCCTTGCTAAAATGCTTGAGCAAATTTCTGACAGCCCAAATAAGATTAAGAACTGCTGGGACTGCCCACCCCACTGAGTGGACCTGAAAGCAGAGGGTGAGCCTCATAACAAGTATTCCTTCACTGGGCTTTTTTTTGAAAGTTTGTATATAGCCCTTTTGCTTAATTTCAGGTTCTTTATTTTTTGCTACCAGGGATTGAACTCAGGTCTTTGCAGTTGTGAGGCAGCAGCGGAACCACTGAGCTAAATCCCCACCTGGGCTTTTTTTTTTTTTAATGCTTCCACTAAGAGCAAAATCTTTAACTTGGTTTCCCTTTATGCCAAAGAAAAGTAACACTGTGTTATGCCTGTAATAATTCCATCTGAGAAGATGTTTTACCAGCACTTTAATTCGCTACCTGGCCTTATCTTTGGGCAACATTCAGTTTTTTAAGGTAACAGGGTATGAGGATGATTCTCCATTTTTCATTTCACAGGACATAGAATAAAATGCTCTGGCTTTCAAGTACTTTTTGTTTTGTTTGTTGTTGTTGTTAGGTCACCATCCTGTGGGTGATTAGATAAGTATCCCTGCTTGAAGCCCAGGATTTCCCTTCTAGTTTTAACCCCACTCACTTACAGATGGCAAACTCTTAGCAACTGAAGGAAATTAGGACTTTACCATAATGACTGTTGGCTTCAATATTAGGCTCTGACACCTTTTCATTGTTGGATTTCAGAAGTGGTGCTGCTGGCCTTAAAATAAAAGTTAAAAAGGAAATATATATATTAAACATTTTTTTCCCTCTAGCCCCAACCCAACAAAACCATTAAAGGAAAATCATAAGAAAGCAGAAAGAGCCTTCCAAACTAAAGAAAGCTTTCCCTGCACATTTGGGAAACTAGCATGTTTTTCAGCTCTAAGATTATTTGACCAAACTTTCTGGGGCTAACATAAGTATCAAGGCCAAAGAGTACAGGGACACCCAGGAGCACCAGGAGTGCTTTACCAGGCCACTCTCAATTCCTTAAATCCTCATCTTGTGCTGCTGTTTCTCGCCACAACACAGCCAACTATTTCCATACTATTACATTTTCAATATCAAAATTAAAAATAGTATAAAAAAATTAAGGTCAATTCTGTTTTGCCAGTAAGTTAAATTGTCATTTTCCCTCTACTTCCATTATAAATTCATAAGGAATAGAGGATTTCACAAATATTTGTCAAGAAAGGACATGATCTGACCATAAAAGCCATTTCCTTCCATGAAAGGGTAGTTGGCAATCATCCACTAAAGGCACACACACACACACCCATATCCTAGGCCTTTATTTTTCTGAATTTTCCAAGACTCAGAACTATCCAGTAATCAGACTTTCCCATAGCTTACTCCAGCCATGCCCACAACACAGCTATCCGCTCTTACAAGGACACTGACCTGGACATTTCCACGGGCATCTGCTTGGCTTTAAAAAAGAAAAAGAAAAATCAAAATCAGTATAAAGTATCTATATCCACACCAGAGGAATAGTCATTTCTACCACATTTAACTTTCCTGAAGATTGTGTACTCATAAAAAAGAGAGGAAAGAAAGATAGATATACTCATGCTTGAAAAAGAAAGTCAGAAAAGGAAAGGAAGAAAGGTGTATCCATGAGCTGAGCTCAGTGGTAATCCCAGCTACTTGGGAGGCTGAGGCAGGAAGATCATGACTTCAAGGCCAGTCTGGGCAGCATAGTGACTCTTCATTTCAATTAAGAGGTGGTAAGGGGCCAGGGATTTAGCCCAGTGGTTCTGCCACCTGCCTCGAAAGCACAAGGTTCCGAGTTTGATCTCCGGTACCAAAAAACAAAACATCAACATCAATTAGAGGTGTTTTTTTCTTGGTCTTAAGCAGAAATTTCACATCATTTCCCCAGATATCTGACATTTTGATTATTTCAGACAGAAGCAATTTTTGTTAGTGGGGTGTGATGGAGATGAAGATAATGGTATAGGAACCAGATTAGTCACCTAAGGGGGAAGCTATCTTTCTGATTCAGTACAATTCCAAAAATTAAAGGTTAAATTGATCCTTGAACTTTTAATTCCAAAGTAGCTTGAGACCGACTTTGGGATCAGCTTTGGAAAAGGTGTTTGTTTGGAAGCTGCCTCTTTTCATGGAGTTACAGTTTTCTTGCTTGAGAAAATATCCAGGGTCCCCCCTTGTCTTAGTTACTTTCTCATTGCTGGCACAAAATACCTGACATCCTCAAATTAAAGGAGCAAAGGTTTATTTTGGCTCACAGTTTATAGAACTTTCAGTCCACAGTCAGCTGGCTCCAAGCCAAGGAGGCATCGCAGAGGGGCATCGCAGAGGAGAAACAGTTCATGATGTGGCAAGCAGGAGGCAGGGAATGTTCAAGGCAGGAGGAATATATACAAATATATCCAGGTCATGCCCACAGTGACCCAGCTCCTCCCACCAGGCATCTCCTCCCAACATCTCACCCAGATAAAAACCCATCAGTGGACTAATCCAGTATCACACACCCACGATCCAGTCACCTCCAAAAAACCCCACCTATGAGCATATGAGGCTTTGAGGGGACATCTAGATATAAGCCATAACATTTTGCCCCTGGCCTCCAAAAGACTTTTGTGCATCTCTTTATACAAAATGCATTTAGTCCATCTTTTAAGAGTTGCCAAAGTCCTAACAGTTTCAGCATTGCTGAAAAGTCCAAGTTCAAATTCTCCTCTGAGATTTAAGGCAAACTCTTAGCTGTGAGCTCCTGTGAAAAACACCAAAAAACCCAACACTTCCAACATACAATGGCATAAGATAAACATTCTCATTCCAAAGATGCTGGGCACGGTGGCACATGTCTGTAATCCTAGCATCAGGAGGCTGAGGCAGAAGGATTTCCACAAGTTCAAGGCCAGCCTGGGCTACATAGTGAACTCAAAGCCAGCCTGAACTACATAGCAAGACCCTGTCTCATATACAAAAAATAAAAAACAAACACACAAACAAAAACAAAGGTAGAAATAGGGGGACAGAAAGGAATGGGACAAGAGACCAAAATCCAGCAGGGCAAATGTTAAATCCTGTAGTTCCATGTCCAGCATCTTGGGCAATCTGTGGCAAGATGTGAACTCTGAAGGGCTTGGATGGCCCCACTCCTACAACACTGCTGGTGGTTGTCTCTCTTATGGCCTCTCTCTTGGGCCAGCTCTGCTCATTCTTTGAAGTTTTCCTCAGACGATCCATGTTCCTGGCTTCTCCAACCTTCTGGGGTCTCCACTGCACTTTCAGCTTCATGCTCACAGATTCACATACTACCCTCTCAGGGGCACACTGCCTGGCCTCCCAGGCCTTCTTCTGAAGTCTTCCTGACCACACAACTCTTGGATTCTGCATGTGCCTAAAACCAGCACCACATGGATAATGCCAAAGTCTGCCACCAGCTGAGCAGTAGCCAGGTTTCCTTCTCTTTTGGCTATAGGGGTCGAGGGCTTGGACTGCTGAGCACTATGAACCCAATCTGGAGGAACAAACTCCCCAGGCCATCACCATTCTGGAACATGGTGCCCTGGGGCTCTCTTCTCAAAGCAAAGTCTACCTTTGTAATTTTGAGGATGCAAAGGGTAGAGTCCTGCTGATTCTAGTGATACTCATAGATCAACTTTTCTATTGTCCTATTTCAAAGTACTTGGCTTTCTAAACCAATTGTTTCAGCAACCAACTTCTCCTCTGTTCCATCTTTGCAGGCTCCAACTTTACTGGAGCTTCATTTCTGGCCAAACTCAAAACTTCTAAAAATCATTCCACTGGGCTGTTTGCTCTTGATTCATAAAGCAGAGCTAGCTAAAAACCTCCACCAATAGCCATGCCACCACCTCAACATTAGACTGCCTTGAATTTCTTCTGCTAGATTAGTCTACTGTCCTTAATCTCAGTCTTTTACAATGTCTCAGGACATGAACAAAATGCAGACAAATTTTCTGCCACAGAATAACACACATGGCCTAGAATCCAACTGCCAATCCAATCCTTCTTCCCAGCTGAAACCTCCTGAGCCTGGTCTCTACCAGCTGCATTTCTATGAACATTCTGGTCTTCTAAGCTCCACCAGAATCTCCCATCAAGCTCAGATTACACCATTCCAGAGCTGCTTCTTCAGTGGGCATCTCCAAACCTTTCCAAACTCTTCCCACAAGTCAGTTCCAAAGGCTCTTGAACCTTGTGTCCAGATAGTGTCACAGCAATGATCCCATTTCTCTGATACCAAATTTTGTCTTAGTTAATTTCTTGTGGCTGGGACAAAACATCTGACATCCACAAGTTAAAGGAGGAATGGTTTATTTTAGCTCACAATTTGTAGAGGTTTCAGTTCACAGGTGACTGACTTCAAGCTAGGGCAGCATGGCAGTTTATGGTATGGCAGACAGGAAGAAGGGAGCACTCAAGGCAGGAGGACAGAGATATATATATCCAGGCCATGCCCACAGTGACCCACCTCCTCCCACCAGGCTTCACCTCTCAGCATCACATTCAGCTATAAACCCCTCAATGGACTAATCCAGTATCACACACCCATGAGTCTGTCACTTCCTCAAAACCTCACCTATGAGCACCTAAGACTTTGAGGAGACATCTAGATATAAGCCACATGCTTCTCATCCCATCTGCCTCCTACCATCCAAGGCAGCAGCACCAGAGCTCCCAAAGAACCCACCTTAGCCCACAAAATTTGTTTTCAGAATGTACAGGTAATGTGCCCTTTCCCTCGAATCTTGGCTAACCGATCTTGTTCCTGAGAGCTTGCAAGAATCCCTAGCTTCCCATCCATGTTTGGCTAATCCCAATCACAGGGCAGAAATCATGGTACTAGTGGCAGGTTGACTGGGAAGCATTCAAGGCATGTGTGCATGTGTGTGTGCATGCGCCTGTGTCCATGGGACTCCCTCCCAGTTATGGGACCAGATGTGGTCAAACCCCACTGAAACAGCCTCTTCTGACCACATGAAGATGCATCTTCTCCCATCTTCCCCAGTTGGTTGCCTAACTAGGAAATTAACCACTTTGATTTTTGCCTATCTAAATCTAGGGGCAGCAAGAGCTCCATGCCCAGGATCTTTGGTAACCAAGGTGACACCCCAAGAAGAAAAATCAGGGACTCCTCCTCAGTTCCCTCTGGGGCACTGCACATCCATGGCCAGTTTCCTGTCAAAGACCACATGTCATAATGGAGGGAAGGAAACTGCTCACCTTTAGCTTTCCTCATCACATAGCATTTGGCTCCAACTATCAAGGTGGCAATTATCACTCCAATTATGACAACTGCGATAAGTCCTTTCTTCCATGGGGCAAGAAAGACTGGAAATGGAAAAGGGGAGAAAAGGAAATATAAAGGTTATTTCTCTGAAATAATATTAGGTTTAAGCAACAATTAAGACTGATTTTACAATTCTTTTTTTTTCTTTCTTTCTTTTTTTGGTACCGGGGATCAAACTCTGATCTTTTACAATTTTTGTAACTAGCATCTAATCTTGGCATCTACCTCTGTAGATGCTGTAGTCATTGCAGGTACAAAATTGGTTATTTCTGCTGTGAACTGAGGTCAGATGTAGTCTTCAGGGAGGGATCAAACCAACTCTGCTGGGTAGACTCCATTTTTGGAGTGTCTGTTAGCTTTTTTCCTTTCTAGGAAGCTGCCCTTCCCCCCATAGGTGGGGGTCCCACATAGGTGGGCTCCCGTAACCATGTCCTATCTGTGTGACTCAATACCTATGGCTGCCAGTGTGACCCAAGGTGAGTCAACTGGTGTCTGTCTACCAAGAATTTAGAGTTGGGACTGTATGAAATACTTCCAACTCCTTATAAACTATTCCTCTTTTTACTAAGTTAATCTGAGTGGGTTTCTGTCACTTACAATGAGAGAGTCTGAGGACATGTGTGTCTTAACCCTCAGTGATCGAGCTGAACCCAGTCCCTCTTTCAAAGGGTGTATTTTCTGTCCTCCCCTCAGAGCCTATACTGCACCTCTATATTGAAACCTTGACTCACCTTTGACCATCAACATGTTGCTTTGGGTGCTGCTTTGGGTGACACTCGCTTTGTTGGAGGCCATGCAGTAGTACTGTCCCTCCTGCTCCTTGCTAGCCTGTGTCTTATGCCAAATCACATGGGTATCATTCGAGATGGCTTGGTGGAAGGGCTTGGACTCCTTGTCTTTGTAAAACTTATATGTGATTGGACCAGTTCCTTCATTCACGGAGCACTGAAGCACAATTTCCTTCCCAGACTCCACCTCTGCACTCCTTAGGATAGTAAGCTTGACCTGGTACACTGGGGCTGGAAAACAGGAAAAGGATTAGCTCTGAGCAGTGAAGAGCTAGCCAGCAGATTGGTGCTCTAACTTACAAGTCACCTCTTGTGAACACAGGGGGTTTGAGCTCAGGGAGCGGCTGGCTGGATGAAGCTGGGCACCAGATCTGGGATGGTCTTGGTCCCTTACTAAGGCAGGTGACCAGAGGACATGGCCCAACTTGACATCCTCTCTCATTGTGTAGCACAAGGGTGTGGAGGCTCAGAGCCAGACTGTTTGGGCTCAAGTACCAACTCTACCACCCACCAGCTATTTGCCTTAATTTGCTCATCATAAATCAAGAATACTACAAGTCTCATGCTGCTACATGGGGATAATTTACTGCAATACTTACACAGGCATGGATAATATTTAGAGCTCTGTAAATGTTAGCACTAATGATGACTGGCCCCCACCCCCGCCCTTTTTGTACTGGGAATTGAACCAGGGGCCTTTGCACTGAGTTACATCCCTAGTCCTTTTTAATTTTTTTTATTTTGAGACAAGGTCAAGCTAATTTGCTAAGTGTTCCCGGCTAGGCTTGAACTTGCAATCTTCCTGCCTTAGCCTTCCAGAGTTCTAGAATTACAGCCATGTGCTATCTCACTCAGCATGTCAATTTAATTTCAACCAACAGCTTCCCATGGACTTCTGCATTTGCCTCTTAACATATCCCAAGGGTGAGATGGCACATGTCTATAATCCTGGCATGAGGGAGGCTGAGGCAGAAGGATTGCTGTGAGTTTGAGGCCAGCTGGGCTATGTAGTGAGTTCAAGACTAACCTGGAATACATAGTGAGATCCTGTCTCACACACACACACACAAAACTCAAACAAACAAAAAAAAAAATAAAAAGGCAGCATTTAAAACCAAAACCAAAAAGCAATCAAAACAAACAAAACTCCAAAACCAAAATAAATAAATAAATAAATAAAATGCATCCTGAGACCAGAAGTCTGCCCTCCTCAGTGATACAGGTTTCCCAAGGACTGATTCTTATCAAGTCCTTCTTTCTTCTAATTCTTCACTGCACTGCATAACATGCAGTTAATAGGCTGCATGTCAATGATAATAATATGTAGCTATTAAAAAAAAAGAAGACAAAGTGCTGAGAGGAGGAAACCTTAGTAAGCTTCTTACACTAGACGGAGAATGCTGAAGAGATGCAAGCAATGGAACCCCTAAGGTCTTCTAAGAGGCATAAGATGGGAGCTTCAGGAAAAATAGCCACCCTCAAGATATGAGAACTCCAGGAATATGTTAGCAACTCTCATAAGACCAGGGCCTACAGCTTTGACTGCTGCCTGCTCCACAGGAGACAGAGCTGCTCCAGCCGGGCCATCAATCAGGAAACATTGTGGGCTGCGATTCTCAGGGGTGGCTCTCCATTCATCTGATTTTTTTTTTGAGACAGGATCTTAATATATAATCCAGGATGGCCTCAAACTCATGGCAATCCTCCTGCCTCAGCCTCCAGAGTGCTGGGATTACAGGTGTGCACTACCAGCCCGGCCTCTCCATTCATCTGAAAAGGAGCAAAGGCCAAGGGAGCCAAACACCCAACTTCATTGCTTCCTGAATTCAGGACACATTCTCTCTTGTGCTATTTTAGTTTATTTTTTAAAATTGTATATTTTATTTATTTATTTATTTATATTTTGGTACCAGGGATCAAACTTGAGACATTGCGCTTGCGAGGCAGGTGGTGGAACCACTGAGCTAAATCCCTGGCCCTCTTGTGCTATTTTAGAAGTTCACTTGAAAGGTCCAAAGAGAGATTACACTGGGCACATCAAGAGACCCCAAATATTTTCCATCCCCATTTTCTGGGCCTGGTTATGCTTTGACGCATATCTGCTTTATGGACTTTGTGAAGGTCTCACCCACTTATTTTACTGACCCTACAATCCCTAGGTAAGCCCAAGCCCCCCAGAATGTTAACCAAATCCCTTATGATTTCTTATAACACAGCAACTTACCTATCACCTTGATGCTCAAAACCTCACTGGATACTTCAGGGTAGGAATGACAGTTATCTGCAATGCATTTGTATTCCACATCTTTGGTTGGGTTATCCTGGAATACTGCAGGATCATTTGAGGTCTTTGTAATATTCTCTAAAACATCACTTCCTTTTAAAAGGTGATAAGTAATAGGTGAAGTTCCATTTATTGATTGGCAACTGACTCTTATGGACTGTCCTTTTATGATCTCAGACTTGGTGTCATGAAAAATCCTGGGCTCGGAGATATTTTCTAGAACAAGAGAGAGAGAAATAACCTGAATGGCAACAAAGCAATGCATGCAGCCTCACAGCTTCCTTCTCCAAACTCTAGTTTTTTGTTTCTGTCACCATGATAATTTGAAATTCCTGCTTGCCCTGTGAGTGCATGTATGAGTGTGTGTGTGTGTATGTGCATGCACGCATGTATGTATAATGATGAGGGAGAGGGAAAGAGAAGTATTAAAGTGGATGGGGTGTGGCTCAGCGGTGGAGCATTTGCCTCGCCTAGCATGTATGAAGCCCTGAGTTTGGTCCCTAGCACCACCACCACCACAAACAAAACGAAACAAAACAAAACACTGGGGATGTAGCTCATTGTGAAGGCCCTGGATTCAATACCTAGAGCACAGCTCCCGCCCACTACACACACACAAGGAATGTAGACAAAATAAAGAATGATGCAAATTCAAGGAAATCATTACGTCCCCATAAATGCATGTTTATATTTTATTTATTTATTTATTTATTGGTACCAAGGATCAAACTCGAGACCTTGTGCTTGCAAAGCAGGCACCAGAACCACTGAGCTAAATCCCTGGCCTGCATGTTTATATTTTAATATAACTCACTTGCACATATACATATACTTTTTATATGTCGAGCAAAAGCATAAGAAAAGCATAGCAAGGATTCCAACAGAATATGTCTGGAAATAAACCCTCAGGCACTGAGGTGGTACACACCTATCATCTCGGCTACTGGAGAGGCTGAGGCAAGAAGAGCACCTTCGAGGCCAGCCTGGGCAACTTACTGAGACTTTGTCTCAAAATAAAAAAATTGTTTAGGGCCGGGCATTTAGCTCAGTGGTTCTATCACTGTCTCACAAGTGCAAGGTCCCAAGTTCGATCCTCAGTACCCCCAAAAAAAAAAAAAGAAAGAAAGAAAGAAAGAAAGAAAGAAAGAAAGAAAGAAAGAAAGAAAGAAAGAGAGAATCAGAGACGGTGACTTCTCTGAGGTTCCATGTTCACTTAGGATCTTGATACTCAGTGTGGTCCAGCGGCTGCAGCATTAGCATCGCCAAGTACTCCTTAGAGAAGCAGAGCCTGGTTCAGGCTGTCCCTCTGGCCAACTGAATTAGAACCTATGTTTTAACCAGGTCTTGCATGCACATTCAAGTCCGGGAAGCTGCCTTTCCATTCCACCCACTGGAAGTCCTACCCCTTCTGCTTAGCTGGGATACGGATAAAAACTATTCAGATCTTTTGTTTTTGTTTTTTAAAAAATGAGTTAAGGGCCGGGGATTTAGCTCAGTGGTTCTGCCGCCTGCCTTGCAAGGGCAAGGACCTGAGTTCGATCCCCAGTACCAAAAAAAAAAAAAAAAGAGTTAATTGTTCATTTGGTTTTTAAAAAAATCTATTTTGCAGTACTGGGGATTTGCACTGAGCTACCTCATTATCTCTTAAAAAAAAATTTTATTTTGATACAGGGTCTCACTAAGGCTAGGCTGGAATTTGTGGTCGGTCCTCCTGCCCTGGCCTCTCAGGGTGCTGGGATTACAAGTGTGCACCACTACACCTGGCTAAATCCCTGGACTTGATCTCGGGCAGCAACACTGTCCTTATAGAGCCTCTCTTCTGTACTCTGAGCGGGAGTACCACTTGCTCTGTCTGGATCTCCATTTCCCACACTTCTTTCCTCAAGTTCTTGCCCAGCCTGAGCCTGATCTGCCTTCAGACTGGGGAGGGTGGCACCAGCGATCTGCTTCCTTCCTCCCACTCAATCCAGCTGCTCCCTGAGCCAGCAAGGACATACTCACCACACACTGTGATCTGGACGGCATTGCTTCTCTTGACCACTTTGCCAATGCCTGCGGTGCAGCCGTAGGTCCCGCTGTCTCGCCCGTCAGTGATCTTGGTGAAATTCTGGCCCTGTGACACGATCATGCCTTCCTTCTCGATAGTGAAGTTGGCTGGCGGGGCTCCTGGGATGGAGCACAGCAGGTCCAACTTTTCACCTTGGTCCACACGGGTGGAGGAAAATTCCAGCATTGGCTTGGGAAACAGTTCTGGAAAACACCGAGTAGGAAGGGGACAAGATGTGTCTGGGCACCAATTCAAGCACCTGCCTGGAGAGCTCCGTGGCCCAGCTCCTTTGGGCAGAACCAATTCCCACCTTCCTGCCAAAAGGCTGCCTTTGATCCTTAATGTACCTTAAAGAGCTGTGACTCTTTGTGTGCCTGGGTCCCAGTGAGAGCTCCTGCTTGCCTGATGATCCAATTTATTTCACAGAAAAGTTCTATAACTTGTATTCATTCACGCATTCACTCATTTATTTGTTTACTCACACAGTGCACTTCACAAAGACTTACTGCAGACGATTTCTGTGGGAGGCACCTTGGTCTGCATGGGGGAAACAGTCTTGGACTTCAAAGTGCTTACATCTAGTGAATGATTCAAACTTGGTACATGCAGCAAAGCCCACAAAAGGGACCCTGAACTTCACCTTGGAGGCCTGAAACTCTCCTTGCAGGAAGTTACCCAGGGGCAGTGGCCTAAGCAGCATGCCTTAGTCTGTTATGCTGTAAGGAACTGCCACAGACTGGTCTATTTGTGTCTGTGAAGTCCTCAAAGGCAAACCCTGGTCTCAGGTAGTTCTCGATTCCCAATAACTTGCCCAGCATGCAGAAGGTGTTCAATATACATTGAATTAATACTTTTCTCTAGTAAGATAATATAAATGCTATCAGTGAAAAACATGGCCATCAACAAACATGTCATTAGCAATAATTCACTAAATTGCTAGCAAACACTATGAATCAGCAGAATCTAACATATCCGCCAATCACTCCCTTGGGCAGTTGGCAGCCTACCTACCTATGACATGAGAGCTATGGCTGTGACTGCATAGTCAGTGATAGAACACTTTCCCCAAGGGTCCCAGGGGAGGACACTCTCTGTCCTTGGAAATACAAGAAAGGTCATGTATCTATTTTAGACATTAATTTATTTAGAGAGAATTAAAGCCAGGTAAGGGAGTAGAAGGCAGAGGGAACTTTAAAGCACCTAGGTGTGGAAAGCAAACAGGCCTGAGGGTGACTCCTGTTGTGCCATGTGGTGACCCTGTCATTCTTAGGTAAGTTACTAACTTCCCAGCCTCAGTTTCTATAACCGTAAAATGGGTATGAAAATTATCTCCCTCCTAGAGTTTTATGAGCATGAAGTAAAAATGCATATAAACCTTTGTAGTGTTCAACAGTGGAGAATCATTACAATTTTTTAGTTTCCTCATGTTTTTTCAGCCCCAGCCCTGTCACAGGGCCTGTATGCAGGGTCTAACATAGGCTTGGCACAGAAGAAAGATAAATGTTAGGGCCGGGGATTTAGCTCAGTGGTTTCGCCACCTGCTGCGCAAGCACAAGGACCCGAGTTCGATCCCTGGTACCAAAAAAAAAAAAGATAAATGTCATATGACTGAGGAAACTTTGTTAACATCCGAGTGCTTATTCTGTACAGACACTGTGTTAACACTTCATTTGATCCTTATACCGGCCCCATGACGTGAGTGCCATATCCATCCCATCTCATAGAGCTGCAGCAAGTTCAATACCTTGCCTACCATCTCAGAGGAAGTGAGCGGCCGGGCTGGGATTTGGTGCCAGAGCCTGAGTGCTCAACCACCCCAGCACAGCACAGTGCTTCCTGGCTGTGCCTCGACTTCTCCCCACGAGTACCAAAGCCCAGAGCACAGCCAGAAGAAGCACCAGCTCTCACTGGACATCCCGGACTGCTTCTCGAGCACGCCATTAGCCAATGTCCTCCCAGAGCACCCCTACCTGTGATGTTGACCACGATGCTGCTGACCTTGGACAGGCGACTGGACTCCACTTTGCATGTGTAGTTGCCGTTGTCCTCTACTGTGGCCATTACTGAATAGACGGCCTCCCTGCTGTGTCTGCTGTGGGCCACAATTGCCTTGTCCTTCTGGATTAGGATTTCTGGAGTCTCATGGGCCAGGTGCGTCACTTGGATGGTGCACCGGATGTGGAGCTGATCTCCTTCTGTGATTACCCCAGGGGGGCTGATTTGGAACTTTGGAGTAGAGAAGGAGGCTACGAGAAAACAGGACAAGCCCATTGGACTCAGGTTCAAACCTGGGCTCTTCCTACTCTTCTGTTCTCCTTTTCCCAACTCCTGTTTTTCCTAATTAATTTTAAAAAATCAGAGCCTAAGATGTAGCTCAGTGGCAACATGCCTGCCTCGCAAGCACAAGGTCCTAAGTTTGATCCCCGGTACCAAAAACAACAACAACAACAAAAACTCAACCTTTCCTCTCAATTCCTTCCCTGGGTTACTCTAATTCTCTTTTCCTTCTAACTCATTTCTATATCTTCAGCCTTCTTGGTTTCAATATTGTGGCTTTCTTGAGCTTCCCAAAGGCCAAATACCTAGCTCTTATCAGTGAACCTTGGAATTCACCATAGCAGGTAGAAATGCCTTGGCCCATGGACTTCTAGGGTGCTCTTATACCGTAACAGGAGCCTTCAAACTGCAGGGAGACTGTCCCTTAGCTTTCGATAGTAACAGCTACATAGACTATATTGCTTCATAGAAATACATTATTTGAATAAAAAAGCAGATTCTAGTCTATTCTACTTGATTTTTTGTTTGTTTGGTTTTTCGAGACAGGGTCTCGCTATGTAGTTCAGGCTGGCCTTGAACTCACTATGTAGCCCACATTGGCCTCAAACTTGCAGCATTCTCCTGCCTCAGCCTCCCCAGTGCTGGGATTATAGGCATGCGCCACCATGCCTAGCAAAATATATATCATATATATTAGATATGTCACAGCCCAGAAAGTTTGAAAAATACTGCCAACATGATTAAGAAGATACTTTAAGTCCTGGGGACAGCTGTTAATCCCTTTCCAATTTTGGGCTCTTTCCCCTACGACCAACCAGAAATTGCATAGAATGACGAGAAGGGGAGCAGGGCTCTGACCTGTCACGGTGACCATCTCTTCACTCCTGGTGGTTTCTGAGGTCTCAATTTGGAACCCCAGAGAAATACTGGCTTGACAGGTGAAATATAAAACATAGTCCTGTTCTCTAATTGGGAATTCCAAGGTCACAAAATTCTGTTCCCAAGAAGTCTTCTCCTTTTTGAGCTTGAAAATTTTTGGATCTTGTTCAAATTTTTCAACTTTGAAATGTATTGGGGCCCTTTCCTCTGGGACGGAACAATTGACAGTCACGACCCCACCTTCTATTGCCTCCTTCTTGTCCAGTGTCATCCTGGGACGTGGCACCCCTTAGGAGAAGGAGAAAGTCTAGTTAGTACCAGTTGGATCTAGTGGCACAAGCCTCCCTCAGCTGTCATTGTGGCCGAGCCATCTGAGGATTCTTCTTTCTCAATACCTGAGTGCAACCCCCTCCTCATACCACAGATATGTACATGCCAGATACTTTGCAAAACACAAGATAAGCTCAAGATCTGATTGGTGCTTTCATGGTTTACAATTCCTTTGGGACAATGGTACAATCAGATTCCCAACTGAGACAGTTTAAAGAGAGAAAAAAACCCAGCCAAGGGCCAGGGATTTAGCTCAGTGGTTCCAGTGCCTGTCAGGCGCCTGTCCGGCACCTGCTGCAGAAGTGCAAGGTCCTGAGTTCGATCCCTGGTACAAAAAAAAAAAAAAACCCAGCCAATATTTATTAGTATTACAATGATTATTGTAATGTATTCAATGCCAACCGTAGGCTAGAGTTGACTTCAATTTATTCTATAAATACTCACTGAGCACCTACTAGGAGCCAGATTCTTTGCTCAGAGCACAAAAATAGGCCAAACAGTATCTCTCTTTACAATTCATAGTCTGGAAGAACAGACAGACACATGAGAAGCATAGCTGTGTATTACTTTATGGCAGAGGCAAATTCAGATCAGTGCATTGTTAGGAGATTCATGGTGGGAACACAGTATATTTACTCCAACTAAAATGGCTCAGACATCACTGGGTGACATAGATATTCTGGGACCCCATCACACCAGCAGTCGGTCATTGACTAAAATGCTATCATAGGACACATGGCTGGCATTGCAGTACACCATGTACCAGACTTGATATCCAGCACTCTACCTGCATGATACCTCTCAATAACTCCCTGAGCTGAATATCAGTGTTGTGCTCACTTTGCTGACAAGGGTTTTGCAATATAGAGTGGTTAAAGGACTTAGCCAGGCAGAAACCTAGGCAGAGAGACTGCAGAATCCAGTGTGTGAACACAGCCTTTTGACAAATAAATCCCACTGAGTGCAGAGAGAGCATCTGAGGTGTTCCCTTCGGGAGACCAGTTTTGTTTGAGAAGGTGTCAGAGAGGAAAAGAGGGAATACTGAGTTGAGTTTTGAAGAAGAAAGTGAAGTTGTATGTGTGCTTGGCTTGTTTGTTTTGTTTGTTTGTTTGTTTGTTTGTGGTACTGGAGATTGAACCAAGGGCCTTCGCACTGAACTACCTCTCGCGATCTGTTTTATTTATATTTTTTATTTCGAGACAGGGTCTCACTAAGTCACTAAATTGCCCAGCCTGAGCTCAAACTTGGCAGTCTTCCTGCCTTAGTCTCCCAGAGTGCTGGGATTACAGGCATACACTACAACACCCAGCTAGAAAGCATAGTTCTTGAGACAAGATAAAGAAAGGTAACATGGTGGCTCATGTCTGTAAACCCAGCACTCAGGAGACTGAGGCAGGAGGATTGCTGAGAGTTCAATGCCAGCCTGGGTTACATAGTGAGTTCAAGGCCAGCCTGAACTGCATAGACACTGTCTTAAAAAATGAATAAATAAATAAATAAACATAAAAGAAGGGTATTCCCAGGAGAAGGAACAGCACATGCAAAGACAAAGAAGTTAGAAAGAGCCTGGCACACTGGGAACAGGCTTAATGCTTACATTTTCAAGTTAGGAAAATGGCAACGGCTGAGTGAGAAGCATGCTACATGGACAGATGGGCTGGTGTCATCCTCATTCTCAGTTACTATTCCTGCTCCCATGTGCACCCAAATTCCAGCAACTCACCTTTCACCCACAATTGGTACTCCGGAGTGGTCTTCTTCTTTTTGTTGTTCAGAATCACAGTGCATTTGTACGTCCCCGAGTCATGGACCCGGGCTTGAGGAATAAGAAAGTTCTCCGTGTTCTTCACGGAGGAGACGTTGTACAAGAGCACATCGTCCTTATAGAACACCACCTGGTACTGAGGCTTGATGTGCGAGGTGGTGCTGATGTCCACGATGCACTGCAGGGTCAGGTTCTGCCCATTCTGCACCGTCCAGTCTGGCAGGCTCTGCATGTGGATGGTGTTGATGGTGAAAGCTGGGGCAAATGGAAGGCGGGCAGACAAACCATTAGACATGGCCCCGTCACACCCCAGGCATCTATCACATCCTAGCCTGGGTCTCAAATCCCTCAGAGGCCAGGCAGCTCATGACTGTAGGTAGTGGGTTAAATATGAGGCAGGGGATACTGAGCCGTCCCTATTCACAGCAACATCAGGTGGCAACGTGGGACAAACACAAGACTGCAGTCAAGGAGCTGCTGTCATGGTCCCTGCAGGAAGCAGAAGTTCCACTCAGGCTGATGTTCAGGTTCTGGAATTGAACTCAGGACCTTGCGATTGCCAAGCAGGTGCAGCACCACTGAGCTACATCCCTGGCCCCTGGTAATTAACCTCTTTGAACTCAGTCTCCTCATCTCTAAAATGGGAGAATAATAGATTTACAGAAGAACAGCCCCAAAGCACCCAGTCAGCACCAGGTGCACAGAAGTGCCTAACAAGTAGCACCCACCTCTATTCTGAATCCAGAGGGTCAGGCCCAAGAACTTTCCTCCCCTATCCTAGCCTGACTGAATTACTGAATTAGCACAGTCTGGGCTGTCATCTTTCTCTGTCTCTCTCTGTCTCTCTGTCTCTTCCTTCCTTCCTTCCTTCCTTTCCTTCAAAAACTTTTAGATTTAATAGGTGCTAGCAGTTTGTAGACTTTTTTAAAAAGTCAAAAGTCAAGTTGTGGAGCTTAGCTGTGCAGGGTGAGAGGTCCCTGGCTGTCTGGAGCCCTGCTCCTCCAGCTTGCCATGCCTACCTGCAGCCAGTAAGATGGTAAGAACCCCCTTGACACACCCACCGGCGACCAGCTTAGCCCAACCCCATCCTCCACCCCCACCTCCTGGCTGTGCTGCTACCTGGTTCCACACTATAGAGGCACAGGGGGGCATAAAGGCCATTGTCCTGAGCTGCAGAAGTGAACAACAGAGAGAGTGCCTCTCTCAGGCTCCTTGATGAAAACTGAAGCCCACTGGAAAAGTGAAGAGAATCTCTGCAATAAAGGCACACCAGACCACCATATTTGGTTAGTTGGAGGGATCATCACCTCCCATCAGAACCTGGACTATCTTCAGGGGAAGGGCAGCTGAACCTGCAGTAGAGCCTTGCAGAGTTCAACCCTGCAGGAGGACAGGGAGCTCAACTTGGGACTTGCAGCCAGAAATCTGCCTGAATTTCACAGGTCTG